AGATTTTTCTTAGGGTCCCTTACCTTGGCCGGACACTCAGCTCCAGGACGGTTCGAATGAATCTGGGGTGACTTACTGGGAGAAACCTAGAGAAACAAATAAGTCAAATCAATTATCTTACTCTAATACAATGATCAAAAGATCAGGATTTCTTTATTCCACCCCAAACCAATTTTACAACTACCACCATCTTCTTCCATTGCCATCACTGATGGGAAATTCAGGCTGAGGGTCTCATTCTCACTCTTTATAGTAAGTGGCAAAGTGCTGGCTTGTCTGACCTTTCACAATTGTCACATTATACTCTGAAAAGAATTTCCCTTACAGATTACAAGCTCTAAACCTTTCATTTTAGATACAGGGGAAACAAGGTCTAGAGAGAGTATATGACTTACCAAAGATCACAGAGCTAGTTCCTGAAATTAAGATGCCAACTATCTGCTAGGCTTTCAATGGCTTTTTTTCCTTTCTTGTTATAGCAAGAATTTCTACTATAATAGCATATACTATATAACTAGGTTTAAAGTGAGTATAACCAAGGTGGAGGACAGATTATGATAACTGAAGATATACACCAAGCAATAACCACGAACCAGGCACCTACTAAATATTTAACATGCATGTCCTCTTTTTCAGCCTTTCCAATAGCCATGAGGTAGAAGACTACATGACTCTTATTTTACAAATTAGGGAAATAAAATTCAGAGAGCTACACGTCCACCAGCATTTGCCATTCACACCCAAGTCTGACTCTAAACTCATGCTTTCAAGCATTACCCTCTATTTTTAAAATTAAATGACTCATTTATAACTTTTAACACCTACCTTTTTTTTTTTTGGTTGGTTATGGGGCTTGAACTCTGGGCCTGGGCACTGTCCCTGAGCTCTTCGGCTCAAGGCTAGCACTCTACCACTTGAGCCACAGCGTCATTTTGGGTTTTCTGGTGGTTAACTAGAGATAAGTATCTCACAGATGTTCCTGCCCAGGCTGGCTTTGAACCATGATCCTCAGATCTCAGACTCCTGAGTAGCTAGGATTACAAGTGTGAGCCACCAGCACCTGGCATTTAACACCTACTTATATCCCTCCTACTCCTGACCCTCCCCCCCTCCCCCCCGCAAAGACAACAATCTCCCCTCAAAGTCAGCCATCCCTTAACACCTCCATACTTAGATGTCTTCACATCTCGTCCACCAATCACTCGGGCAGTGACCGTCTTCCCAACTTTCAGCTTTGTAGTAGGAGAGGAGCCAACTGGAACATCATCTAGAATATTGGAGGCGTGGATACAGCCAATGATGTCATCTTCCAGTGTCACGACCACATGAGTGGCCTTAATAGACTTGATAGTCCCAGTGACTATGTCCCCGATAGCCAGGGAGTGCTTCTTTTTAGTCCCTATAGTCAGAGCTGGGTCATCATCCTCTTCCTCCTCATCAACTGCTTCCAAATTCTTCTGGATCTGTGTCATGGTCCTCTTAGCAGCTGGCCCCTCAACAGCTAGAAGAAGGCCAGTCACTCCTGGTTCTGTAGTCTTGAGGGTTAGGCAGACTCCTTGTCCCACCTGCAACTTCTCGGAGTCAAATCGAAAGGTGTCATTGAGGTGGGAGGTCAAGGAGAAAGCTGCTAGTTGGCCAGTCTCTACTAAAGAGGCCACTGCAAAGGACTCTTCTAGGTGCTGCACAATTCCTTGGTACCTGTTGCCTTTCTTCAGCTAGAAAAGAGAATATCAGTTATTTCTCTCTCCTTTCTCTCCTCTCTGTTCCTCTGCCTCTATCTCTGTCCTTCTCTCTATTAGAACTAGAACTCAGGGGGCTGGGAAGTTGGCCTCGCATGCATGGGCCCCTGGGTTCTATTCCTCAGTGCCACATAAGCAGAAAAAAGCCAGAAGTGGCGCTGTGGTTTAAGTGGTAGGGCACTAGCCTTGAGCTGAAGAGCTAGGGACAGTGCCCAGGCCCAGAGTTCAGCCCCCGCGACTAAAAAAAAAAAAAAAAAGAACTAGAACTCACACATACTAGAACCAGCACATGGATTCAAAGTCATTCCTATGCAGAAGTATACAAGAAACAGGCACCAGTAGCTCAAGCCTATAATTCTAGTTATTCAGAAGGCTGAGATCCAGAGGATTGTGGTTTGAAGTCAGTCTGAGCAGAAAAATCCATGAGACTCTTAAATCTAGTTAACAAGCAAAAAGCCAAAGTGGAGGCATAGCTCAAGTGGCAGAATACCAGTAATGAGCAACAAAGCCAAGTGAGTGCATAGCCTTGAGTTGAAACTCTGGTACTGGCAAAAACCAAAAAGGATGCAAGATGCATGGCAGGAGATATGCTGGATATGCTGCTGTGGATATGCTGCTGCCTAGATGTCAGAATTAACCACACTCCAGTTTTGTCGGGTTCATATCAATTCTGCCTTCTTTTGAAAACCAAAGACTTAAGCCAGCAGTGGGAGTATACATATTAATGTCAGCGCTTGAGAGGGTGGGGAAGAATCGCAAGTTCGTGGCTGCTCTGGGCTAGAAAGTGAGACTCTCTCAAAAATAAACAAAAATATTCCCAGCTGGTACCAACTGGCTGGCAAACAAGTGGCTCTCTATGCTGCACACAGGCAGGGCACCCATTCACTAGTCTGTCACGGTCAGACCTTCAACTTGCTGGCTCACTTATCTAAATTACCTGTTTGGCCCTAAAGACAGAACGACTGTATAATTCATCACTTCAACTCACGTGAGAAATCAGTCCTCTACCATACTAGAACAAAATGAAACTGGAAATGTCCTTTATAGTTGTAGGCACTTATTCTATCTACAGGGACCTGGGATAAAACCCCTGAGCTGTGAGTATAATATAGAAGAAATCAAGTCACAGCAAGCTTACCCTTTTAGTTTTTCTATTCACCAAATGCTGGCTGAGGGAAACATGTACTTCCAAGTTCAACATATCAACACTGAGGACCACAACCTTCTTCTTCTGCCCAGGTTCCACCTCTTGTCCTACAGTGCAGAACCAAATAGTGCAATTATCTTCATGGAACACAGTAAAGGAGAACAGTATCTAAACTGGGTCCCTTTTACTCCACAAAGCAAAGATGATGTATTTCTTGGGTTTATATGGACATTAGGGAAACCAAAGTGGTTTACTTCCCATAGCTAGGGTTAGGGTAAGTCTTAATTCATGCAACCTGATACATAAACGTTTAGATTTACCTTACCATAATAAGCCTTTTTAGCATATTGTCAGCTATCCTGCTTTGAAATCATACAAATTAAGTATATCAAAAGCTTCGATAGCATCAACACATCTACTGATGGGAATTCTGTATCTAGCAGAGGAAACAATTAGCATGGGGGTCTCTCCAAAAAACCAAACAAGCAAGACAATTGCACTCACCTGTCCGGTGGTATCTGCTAGCTCTCACGACCAGGTCAGGCACTGGGCCTCCACTGAACACCACTGAGCCATCCTCTAACACTTCCTGTACCACCAGGTCAAGGACCATTCCTGGGGTCATCTCAGCCAGCGTCTGGATCAGCACAGAGTCTGCCATAGGCCCAAAGGCAGCAGGGATTAATAAAAGGAAAGAACATTCTTATCATCCCTTTCTTCCAAAGTATGTTGGTACCAAAGAGGGCAGTGGAGCATTCAAAGTCACTGACAAGGTAAAAATCACATTTTGCAAAAATGTCCAGTATTCATGAAAACTCTTGTTATAGGTAGAGAGTTATACTTCTTGATTTTTCTACCTGGCCATAATTTATGAAATTAGTCAACAAGTGACAGGAACACAGGCTTTCCTTTAGTTCCTAAATTTTCATTGTTTCTGTTTAGGAACAGATCCTGCATCATGGTTCAGTCTGTAACACCTTACAGACTATAGGTATGTCTGCTCCATTTTACTACCTACTACTTACTTATCTGAGATGAAAGGGAAGAGATTGAAGACTCTGGGACAAAGGGAAATTTTGGTTGGGGAGGGAGGGAGGGATGCACAATGAAAATTTCTAGGCTACTTATAATGACGTTTATCTTAACCTGGGTGGGAGATAGAGGTGTTCAGGTATTCATTATATAAACATTTACTGGACTACTTACTGATTTGTGCACTTCATGCAAGTCACACTTACATTAAAAACCAAAAAACCAAGGCTTACCAAGCCAGATATGGTGCTGTATACCTGTAATCCCATCTATTGTGGAGACTAAAAACAGGGAAATTGCTTGGGCAACAGTGAGACACTTTCACCAAAAAAAGCTGCTTCTTTTTTTCTTTTTTCATCTTAATACTGGGTACAACTATAGCACATGCACTCTCTTGATTCCCGGAGGTCCTCACCTCGGTTGCTCATGAGGCTGCGCACACCCTGCAGCTCCTCCAGGCACTGGCTCAGGAGGAGGAGACTGGTACTGGCCAACTTCCCCAGAGTGCAGTCTGACAGCCGCAATGACAGCAGCATGCGCTGCTTCTCCTCATCCACGTTGGTCACCTTCGCAACCACGGTCTGCCCCTCGACGAAGTGGTCACTTGTGGTGGTCACAAACTTGTCACTCATGAGCTGAAGAGTGGAAAGAAAATGAGGAAAGGAAAGGAAGTTTCCAGTAAGACAATCCACTTAATGTGTCCAGAGATGGGATGTTGGGAAGGAGAGAAAGGGACCCCAAGGAGCTTCCCACAGCCTTCTTAGACCTTTCTGTGAAAATGTAGGAGAGGCCCTGGCTGCCCAACTCCGCCTTTGAAGAGGACACCCAGCTAAGAAGGCACATCATATCCACGCCAGCAGGTCCAGGACATCCCTGTCTCTATCATCCAATGACAACCTTCTTTCTCTATATACATTTCTGGGGTATTCCTCTATGCCTCCATTTAAACTTTTATTTGGCAAAAAGTACAAGGTGACTTTTCTGGCATAAAATACAAGACCAAGGCCTGGAAAGAAATAACTATGGACAATTGGTGGCCATTTATTTGGTGTTGTCTTACATTCATTGGTCTAAGGCTCCATCCCATTAGGTCTTAGCTCCAACTATGGGGTTGCTAGGATCCTTTTCCTATCTGAAAGGCTTACGATTTAATGGCATGGAGGAGAAAAGAATGTCAAGGATATTCCACTGCCCTAACACCTTGAAAACCCCAGCGGACTCTAAAATCTCTATTGGGCTGCTTAGGAAAATCTACTTTCAAATCTGAACATGCTAAGTATAACTACAAGCTCAGTTTTCTTTACACTAGAGCTTAGTGTAAAAGACTAGTGTAAAAGATGAAAGAGAACAGGAGCCCTTTTCTCCAGGATGACGTGCAGCAGGCAGGAGGAGTACAGCCTGGGTCTGTGTTCTACTCACTCTCCAAGACCCTTCAGGTTACTCATACCTTAAGTGGTGCCCCTTAACCTCTTTTATTTTTGGTCAGTTGTGGGGGCTGAACTCTGGGCCTGGGCGCTGTCCCTCAGCTCTTCAGCTCAAGGCTAGTGCCCTACCACTTGAGCCACAGCGCCACTTCCGGCTTTTTTTCTGCTTATGTGGTGCTGAGGAATTGAACCCAGGGCCTCATGCATGCGAAGCAAGCACTCTACCACTGAGCCAACTTCCCAGGCCCCCTGCCCACCACTTGGTCTCTTCTAAAGCAGTAAAGCTCCTTGCTCCTTCCCACCCTGAAAGGTCTTGTAATCCTTGTATTTTATCTTCAAAGGCCCCTGTGCAATGAGGCAGAACTTACGGCTTTGGGGGCCAATCCACTGAGTCCTGAGGGGAACTGGACGAACACACCATAGTCCATGATGCTCCTCACAAAACCAATGAGAAGCATTCCAGGCTGTATTTCTGAGAAGCTTTTGGGATCCTGGCCACCTTCTACTGTAGAGACCAAAGAAGGCTTCCTACAGAGGAGCTAATGGTACTTTATCAAGGACTATTTCAGAAAAGCCTGTGGAAATATCCATCTCTCCCATTTCTTTTTTCCCTTCATTCTGCTACTGCAGAGTGTGCAGACCGCAGCAGCAGCAGCACCTAGAGCTCACGAGAAGCCAAGTTTTTGTTTTGTGCCAGTCCTAGGGCTTGAACACAGGGCCTGGTGCTGTCCCTGAGCTCTTCTGCTTGAGGCTGGTGTTCTTAGCCTTTGAGCTCCACTTTCAGCCTTTTGCTAGCTAACTGGGAGAAAGAAGTGTTACTGACTGAAGGCTGGCTTCAAACCTCAATCCTTGGATCTTGGATCTCAGCCTCCTGAGTAGCTAAGATTATAGGTGTGAGCTTTAAGAACCACTTTAGGACCCTCCCATCTCCCACTGCCCTCAGATACCGGTCAAGGATACAAGGTGTTTCTCACTCTGGCTCAGACACAACACTCGGTGAAGGGTGTCACCTGCCTGGAGCCAGTGGTACAACAGAGGGCCATTGGTGACATGGTCTGATAGATGAGGCGTGGGAAGGAAAGCAGGAATGTTGTGGGGCAGGACTGCCACCTCCAGGCCATCTTTGGTCTTCTCTAAAACCTTCACATCCACCAACTGTGCAGGGAATAGGAAGACAAAACCAGCATTTGTCCCCAGCAGACAGCAATCTTGTCTGGATAAGGCAGAACTCAGAGGCACCAAATCCCAGTACCAGGGCCACTGAGTGGCTGACAGTAGAGGGGCTCTTTCCTCCAGCCACCCCAGGACCCAGATGATGACACATCTGTAGACTCTTATCACTTCTTGCCAGTCCCTCCATTGGGTCTCAGAGGAAGAGGAAACTGCAGCCTGGCCCTAGTGACCAGAGAAGGACACATAGAAGTGCTTTACTAGAAAGCCACATTGGACACTCATTTTCTTTCATAATCGCTTTCAATGACACTGACACATAGGAAAGAACACACACAAAGTCCTCTCTCAGGAAGCCCTCTAGTTCTAGAATCTTAAAAGCCCCTTTTCTTTCCCCCTCATGTATCAGTGGCCCCTTGTCATGTTAAGAGAGAAGTCGTCTGGAGAAGTCCTATAGAGGTACCTGCCCAATGTTAACAGCGCGTTTTTTCTTCTGACTGTGTCCAACACTCTCATTCTCTGGCTCTGGCTCACTCAACAGCTTGAAGGATAAGAGCATCCTCTCTTTGGATGGCTCACAGTTTAGCACTGCAACCTTCACCACCTGGCAAGAAACCACATATGCTTGTTTGCCTCCAGCAGCCAGGTGGTACCCTCCCCAGTGCTGCAGGGGCCTTGGGAGGTCTACCAACACTCTGGACCAGATCATCAGAGATAGGGAAAGAAGATATGTAGAGATGACACAGAAACTCAACAAACTAACCATCTGAATAAAAAGGAAGACATGAATAACTTTTTCAGTACAACCCAAGACAGGCTGAAACCAACTAGCATTATAGCACTGCACTGCCTCAGAGCAGTATTTGATGGAACACTCATTTGTTACAGGTAGTGACTGACTTCTTTCAGTCTGTGGGCCTGAGTCCATCAGTATTCCAGTGGGAGGTTCTCTGTTCTGTTGCCCCTGCCTCCACTGCATGATTACGTAGGTCTATTTGTGCTCTCTTCCTCCTTCTATTCAAGCAGCCCTTGTTCTACTTGAGGTAGAGCCACTTATCCAGCAAGCACAAGACCAAATTCAAACCTCAGCACCACTTCTGCCCTGATAAAAGGGTTCTGTTAAGAGTGGCGCATATAGGGCAACTTGACTGCTGTTCGTGCAGAACTGATATCAAGAGATTCCAGAAGTATGTTTTGGTAAATGGGAAGCTGGTGATCTTTAATCCTTATACTCTTACCAAAAAAAAAAAAAAAACACACAAAAAACAAAAACAAAGCAATCCTCCTGATCACTGCTAGTTCACATCTACAAATGTGGAGTCACCAAAGGTAGGAAGTCTGGTCCAGAGGAAAGGTTACCTGGCCGGTGAAAAAGACCTTCTCTGGGTCAGGGATATACTGCGCACAGAGTTCAGGCTTGGGCACCAGTCCCTGAACATCATTGTAGAACTTCACAATACAGCCATAGTCCCTGGCCCTGAGGATGACACCATGAGTCTGGAGACCAGGCTTGGCATCATTATAGGAGGTGATGATAGGCAGTTTGGACATGATCAGGGTTTTCTTCAGGGTCATTATCAGTTTCTTGGCTTCAGGGTCACAAAGTAAAACCTAGGGAAAGGATAGCAACCATTAACAAGTTACCTGTTATCAAGAAAATTTCCGAGCTTCTCTCTGCAACTCTCAAACTCAAAGTCTATGGATCATTCCCCAGGGGACTGTCATCTCTTCTTCCCTGAATAATTTCCAGCTTCCAGCAGGATGATCATCCAAAGCACAGAAATTTCTTTTTCAATGCATCCCTCCCACACTCTCTTCTGGCCATATAGCAATAGGATTACCTTACAGCAGCCCCCAGGCTTGAGGAACACTATACTACCCAGCTTTGCAGACCCAATATATCACCTGAGTAGTGTTACTAGGTATAATCTAAGACTGCAAATTCCTCAGAGGCTTATCTTGAGGGCAGAGAAACTGCTTTTTAATCATCCATTGTCATTATATAGAACTGCACCAATGAGCATCTGCTATCTTTGTGGAGTTAATGACAAATTACTGAGCATGTGAGGCTCTGAATTCAATTCCCAGCATCAACCAACCAACCAACCAACCATACATTAAACCTTTAACATATCAAGTACCTGCATATACCAGGCCCTATGTAAAGTACTCCATATTATCATGCTTAATCTTCACAACCATGTAAAGTTCTTGGGACATAACCCTTGGTTAAACATCACTCATTTTGGTACCTTGATGCGTTATTTCTGTGCTTGGAGCACAACCCTTCCTAAATCCTATCCATCCTTTCTAGTGCAAAGTCCTCTCAGAACAGGAACCGGTGGCTCATACTTGTAATCCTGTCTACTCAGGAGGTTGAGATCTGGGGATCACAGTTCAAAGCTAGCCCAGGCAAGGCAATCGTGAAACTCTTATCTCCAATTAACCACCAGAAAACCAGAAGGGGCTCTGTGGCTCAAGCGAAAGAGCTCTCACTTTGAGCTGAAGAGCTCAGGGACAGCACCCAGTCCCAGAGTTCAAGTCCCATGACTGACAAATAAAAAAAAAAAGGTCCTGTTAAGATTTTCCACCAAAGCTGGGCACTGGTGACTCACGCCTGTAATCCTAGCAACTCGGGAGGCTGAGATCTTAGGATCATGGTTCAAAGCCAGCCTAGGCAGGAAAGTCCATGAGACTCTTCAATAAACCACTAGAAAGCCAGAAGTGGTACTGTAGTGGTAGAGTGCTAACCTTGATGCCTAGAGTTCAACCCATGACCGGAGGGGGGGGGGGGGGGGAAGGTTTTCTGCCTGAAATCCAAAGGCATTATTGTCATATAGAGCTAAATTTGCAGACTGGTTCAGGCATTTATGTGCTATGTGATTTTGGGCAAGCTATCTAGCTTTCCTAAGCTTTAATTTTTCCATCTACAAAATGGGGATAATATGGTTATAATACAGGGTAGTTTTTTTGTTTTGTTTTTTTGTCAGTCTTGGGGCTTGAACTCTAGGCCTGGTCATTGTCCCTGAGCTCTTCAGCTCAAGGCTAGCACCCTACCACTTGAGCCACGGCACCACTTAAGGTTTTCTGGTGGCTAATTGTAGATAAGAGTCTCATGGACTTTCCTGCTGGGGCTGGCTTTGAACCACGATCCTTAGATCTCAACCTCCTGAGTAGCTGGGATTACAGGCGTGAGCTACTCACACCCGGCTACACAGGGTAATTTTAAGGATTAAATGAAATAATGTGTGCCTAGCATAGCAAGCACTTCAGAATATACAATGCAAGATCATTGTTATTGATTACATCTGTAATTCTACTGCTCCAGCCCTTCCCCTCTTCTTTCTGAGCTATAAACATGGCATTTAGTCTGCAGTAAACAGTGTGGTGAAAGGTTACACACTGACTTACTCTTTCTATATGGATATTTTAACTCCTGATTATATAATTCTCAAGGACAGGGACACACTTTTCCTAAGGCCAGGCACAGCATTGGACACTGCAGATGTGAGATTCACTTTATGGAAAAAAGTAGAAACTGAGGGCTGAGAACTGCCCTCTTCTAGCCAATGCCCTAACAAAGACACTTCAGGAGGCTTACCCGGCACTTGACCTCATCCCCAATGTGGTACTTCTTCTCTGGATTCTTCATCAGGATGTCAGCCAGGTGCATGGTGGGTACCAGGCCTTTTATTTGCTCCCCTATCTTCACCAACATCCCAAATGGTTTTATGGTTAGCACTGTACCCTAGTAAATCCAAACAAAAGGCATTATGATGCCTTCAACGATCTTCCTTCCACATCCTACTAAAGAGTCATCTCATCTCCCTACAGCCCAATTTCTCAGTTTAACTATGTCTATTAGTACACGTCTAATGTTGGTAAGCACACACTCCCTCACATCAATCTGGATTCACCCAGGCATATTTGTGGATACTTCACATTTCTTTGGTTGAGCATATACTTTCTATAAGTACATTTCCTAAGAAACAAACTATAGCTAGGAAGGGGAGCTACTCAATTAGAGCTACATGGCTAGAGGAGAGACGACTTGAACCAGCTTCCTGCTAATATTCCAGGGAGCTCAATTACCACAGAACTAACTTTCAATCTGCTCTAGTAACCACCACCAAATCTGCCTCTGTAAAGCTGAGTGGTGATAGTATGAACTTATATTGAAATTAATGCAGAAAGAAGAACATGACTTCCCCTATGTTAACAGGATGAATAATGTGCTGACAGCTAACTTATGACAAATTAAAGAATACCTGATAGTGGAAGATTCCCTAGGTATATATATATAGGGTCTTACCTTTACCACTGCTCCAGTTTTGATGTCATGATATCTAAGGTACTGAGCTTTAATTATAGATCTAGAACAAAAGGAAAATACAGGATTAAATAAACTAGGGCAGGGGCTGCCTAAAATTCAGAACTATAACATCATTCAAACAAGAATGCCCTCACCTGGGAAAGCCATGAGAAACACATCTGGAAACACTTCTACACCCTACTAATGATACTTACGTTTTCAGAGATAGCAAGGCCAGCTCGTCCATTTGGCTGTAGTCAATAATTCTACATTTGTGAGTGTTTCCTGGCTTGAAGGCATCAGGATTAAAAACTTTCTTAGAATCAGATAGATGGCTGAGCTGTAAAGTACAAAAGTGATTAAGACAGTGATAACAAATCTGAGCCAATCAAGACTTCAACTCACACTGAAAGACTGAACACATTTATCAGCACCCTTAGGTTTATACTTTGTTAAAATAGTAATTCTCACTCCTTACCATCACAAAATCTCAGTGAGGCCAAAGAACAGACTAACTCATAAGTCAGAAAACTGCACTAATGTACAAAAGTTTATACAAATAAGTCAGGCGCCGGTAGCTCACGCCTGTAATCCTAGCTACTCAGGAGGCTGAGATCTGAGAATTGAGGTTCAGAGCCAGCCTGGGCAGGAAAGTCTGTGAGACTCTTATCTCCAACAAACCACTAGAAAACCAGAAGCGGCACTGTGACTCAAGTGGTAGAGCACTTGCCTTGAGCTGAAGAGTACAGGGACAGCGCTCAAGCCCAGAGTTCAAGCCCCACAACCGATCAAAAAAAAAAGGGAAAAAAAAAAGTTTACACAAATAGGTGACATGGCTATACCTGTTCAGTTATATAGATGGTACTACTCTCGTGTTACAACAAGAGCATTTAATATACAGAACCACGGCCCATAAGCCTAAAATATACACCACTTAGCCCTTTAAAATAATTTACTAAGCCCCAGTCTAGATCCTAACTCATTCCTGTATATATATATACCACTGGCCAGGTATCAAATATAGCACGTTGGTTCTAAGGCATTCTAACCTAACACGCAGACTTAATTCTGATTCTTACAGTGTTTTATACTAGAAGTTATCTTTTTTTTTTTTTTTATTGCCAGTCCTGGGGCTTGAACTCTAGACATGGGCACTATCCCTGAGCTTCTTTTGCTCAAGGCCAACACTCTACTACTTGGGCCACAGTGCCACTTTCACTTTTTCTTTGTACTTGGTACTGAGGACTCAAACTCAGGGCTTCATGCATGCTAGGCAAGCACTCTACCACTAAGCCACCTTCCCAGCCCCACTAGAGGTTATCTTAAAATAAGAAAATAATATCAAGGGATGAAGGGAGCAGAAAAAATGACTTTTGTCCCCACAAGTCCTTTCAGTGACCAAATAAATAAAGCCCCTTACGCGGGCATAGGCCAGAGCTCCATCCTTCAGTGTGAAGGTGGCCCCAGCCTTGTTGAAAAACCCCTGGACAGGAACATCATCCAACACAGCTCCTAGGTGTTGGTAAGAGAGTCGGGTGAGTGGGCGTCCAGGCTGCAGGAAGATGGGACGCAGGCTCAGACGCACGATTCTGGTCCGAGGATGAACACAGAGGATGCATGCCCGCACCTAGACAAAAGGGCAAAATGAGCAGGAGTTGATACACAGGTCAAGACTCCCCATCAGTTACCCAGGTATGTCAATACTAAAACCTTCAGTAAGTGCGAAGGTCAGCTTTTGTATAATTAAGCTTCATGCGGAAAAGGTAAACAAAATGTCCCAGCGGGACCAAGTTTGACTAAATCAAACTAATATTTAAGGACAGTAACCTCAATGCCAAGCTTAGCTTAAATGCCAAGTTTTACTTCAGGGAAAGCTCATCTGAAACAAATCCCCAAACTTGATGTTGTCACAAGGTTAAAAGGTTGGGTACCAGTTGTTCATGTGTCTAACCCTAGCCACTCAGAAAGCTGAGATCTGAACATCTCAATTCAAAGCTAAATACAGACAAATACAGGACTCTTAACTCCAATTAACCAACAAAAAGAAAAAAACAAAAATTCAAACAAAAAAAAATCAGAACTGGAGGAATGGTTCAAGATGTAGGGTACAAAATAGCCAAGTGAGCAGGGAAAACCCTTAGTTCAAGAGCACACACACACACACACGACTCAACTCAGTAAACATAAGCAGCAACACACACACACACACACACACACACACACACACACACACACACACACACACACACACACACACACACACACACACACACACACGACTCAACTCAGTAAACATAAGCAGCTGAGATCAAAAGGATCACATTTCCAGCCAGTCCAGGCAAAAAAGACTTTTATTGAGACTTCCATCTCAATAAAAAAGCTGTGATGGTATGAGTTGGTGAGTCTGTCAGGAGATATGGTGGGAAGTGTAAATAAGATTAGATTGTATGTATGTATGTATATATATATACCTGGATATATATGTATATAAGTGAGTATATGTATGTGTGTGTACTTTTATATATATATATATATATATATATATATATATATATATATATATAGATATATATATGACGTGTACACACGGGTAAATACACACACACACACACACACACACACATACACACACACACACACACACAACTATACAGATTTATTACCCCTTCCAAGTCAAACTCTGATCTCAGTCAAATCACTACTATTTCTTCTGAGCCCTCTAAAATTCTTTGTATCATTCCCTCACCTGAGTGCACACCTGTATACATGTAGTCCTTGACCTGCCCTGTGACAACAGCAGATTGAGACCCAGTTGGAAACCAAGAAAAGATGGGTGTAAAATTTCTTACTGTTTGTTTTGAGATGTATGTCCCAACTTTCTTGGGTTCCAGGTGCATAAAGTCAACCACGCCCGTGAAGAATGTGAGGAAATTTAGTTTAAGGCCAAATGGAGTCACCTAAAAATAAACAGAACAAACTAGGAAAAACATTCCTCTGAAGGAGAAGACACTCATCTTTAACAACAAACACTCAGTACCATAATATTCACAATAACTGTGGATCTCTCCTCCCATAAAGTGGCAAGATGACTCCAAGCACTGGCTGTTTAGTTAGTAAGTTTCATCTCCCAACCTAAAAGCAGACATCAATTCTCCCACCCTTTGGGATTTCTCAATGGGATACAGGAGCTTTACACAAGCATCCTACCATTCTGGGACCCCTACCTAGACAGTAAATGCACAATAATGAAAGCAATAAAGATTAGAGGTTTGGCTTAAGTGGCCCTGAGTTCAAACTCTATACACCAACAAATAAAAAGATAAAAAGACAAGAACTGGGTGCTGGTGGTTGACACCTGTAAACTCAGTTATTAGTAAGGAAGCTGAGATATGGAGGACTGTGATTTGAAACCATCCTGGCAGAGAAGTCCACAATACCCCACTTGAAATTAGCCAGCAAAAAGCAAAAACCAGCCATAAGCAAAAGTCAGCCCTTGGGTTCAAGCCCTGATACTGGCATAAACAAACAAATAAATAAAATGATAGACAATCTAATTTTAAAATAAGCAAAAGACTTTTAAATTTCTTGAAAGAGGATACACAAACGGTCAATAAGTTCATCATGAATATTAAAGATAATTACTAATTAGGGCTCTGGGCATCACAAGAATGCAAACCCTGTCTCACATATACACACACAGAGATGACCACTCATTAATAAGAAAATAGAGAGCAAAATCACAATCAGATCCCACCTCAAACCTACCAGCAGAGTATAAAAAAGGTAATACTGCCAGCACTTTTCCTCAAAATGTTAAACTGGGGCTTTGGAATATATACATAAACCCGCAATACCTAAAAACGTATAAATCAAGACACATTAGCAAAAGCTTGGAATATAGAAATACAGACAGCAAGGGGTATAGCTCAGGTGCTAGTAGTAGTAACAGCAGCAGCAGTAAAAGAATGGAGGAAAATTTCCAAAACTAAAGCTAAAAAATGTAGGATTTAGAAAGAATGAGACAGCTTGATAGTTCTTCATTTCTAAGCCTTTTACGCCATTTGGTCTTTCATAATTTGTTTTTATTACTCATTTAAGACTGCATCTTGCAATGTAGCTCAAGTTTGTCCGTTTTTGATTTTCCTACTTCAGACTGGTTCATTTCAGTATATGGCAAATGGCCACATTTCAAGTGTTCAGTGGCCTCAATGGACTAGTGGCCACTCTACTTGACAGCAGTTTAGATGACACGCCTGCTATACAGTAATACTGTTTCATAATTGTAAAACAAAAAGAAAAAAATTACATTTTAGAAATAATAGTAACAATGCACTGAACTTCTTACCTTTTGTACTTGAGCTTTGACCACCAGCCCTGGTAGCAAGTTACTCAGAGTCCAGTTTTGCTCCTCAGTTGCCAAGGCAGTAGAAATCTCTGAATGTCCTATAGACAGGCTAACAACTCCTCCATTGCTTTTCACCTCGTCAACAATGCACGTCAAATACTGACCCAGCTTCAGTTTGGCACCTGTAAACCCAGTCCCAATACCCAAAAGGAAAAATACATCTGTGAGAAGAATTTTTTTTGGAAGGGGGGGGGGCGTGTTTTCAGTGGTGGGGCTTGAACTCTGGGCCTGGGCACTGTCCCTCACCTCTTCAGCTTAAGGCCAGCGCTCTACCATTAGAGCTACAGCACCACTTCCAGTTTTCTGGTGGTTTATTTCCTGCCTAGGCTAGCTTTTGACCTGTGATCTTCAGATCTCAGCCTCCTGAGTAGCTAGGATTACAGGTGTGAGCCACTGGTGCCTGGCTGAGGATTTTTGACATGAGCCCAAACAACACTTGAAGCATCCACGGCCCACCTATAAAATTAGTGCCTGAGAGTCTCCACATTCCTAATCTGTAAGGGACCAACTACAAGAAGGAAATAAAGTTACCTAGGGATGTGGGTAGAATTCAACTATCTCACAGAAACTTAAAATAGAAAAATCCTCAACAAGCCAGGAGAATGCTGGTTCAGAAACCCCAAGGACCCAAAATCAGTGGAATCTTTTTTTTTTTTTTTGGTCGGTTGCAGGGTTTGAACTCTGGGCCTGGGCCCTGTTCCTCAGCTCTTCAGCTCAAGGCTAACGCTCTACCACTTGAGCCACAGTGCCACTTCCAGTTTTTTCTGCTTACGTGGTGCTGAAGAATCGAACCCAGGGCCTCATGCAGGTAAGGCAAGCACTCTACCACTGAGCCACCTTTCCAGCCCTTCAGTGGAATCAGTAGATGAGGAAAACTGAAACTAATCAATCCAATCATACAATGACAATTACATTCCCTGGCTCTTCAAACAGCTTCTCTTTTTCTTGTCAGCTGGGATTGGCCACTGATTTTCCCCAAACCAACAGTCTGTATGGTCACCATTCTGGCTCTTCAAACAGCTTCTCTTTTTCTTGTCAGCTGGGATTGGCCACTGATTTTCCCCAAACCAACAGTCTGTATGGTCACCATTCTGTCACGCCACTTGTTAAAAGGGCATTAAATATAAGTACACACACCACCTACTGCCATATACCAGCCAGCCAGTCTCTGCTTCCCTCACCTTTGTTCTTCTGGCGGATGTAGTCTTGTGCTTTTGGCAGTGGTAAAAATGCTCTGGTCCCACCAACACCGATGTCCACTAGGTAGCCATGGTCTTCCAGGCTTGATACAGTGCCTGTCAGCAGCTGGAGGAAGAGGAAACGTAACAAGGCACTTCTACCAAATACCAATGTTCTCACCACTAATCTTGACACTCTCGTACTCACAGCCAGCACTTTTAACTTTAAACCACACTTCCCAACAGAGGACAGAAGGGAAAAGATCAACTTTATTCTCTCAGGGCTTGTAGGATCTTCCTGTTTCCAGACAGTGAGAAATGTTATACACAATTGAGGTCTACAGAGGGGAGTCTCTTCTTGCCTGGGGATTTTTCAGAACTCAGGAAAGACTTTAAGGTTATTAAAAGAGGAATGAGCAGAGTCAGTGAGTCATCTGTGTCAGGAGTGAGCTGCACAGTTATTCCTGAATCAGACTATCAAGAGAATCCAGAAGTGTTCTTCTAGATCTCATTATCTTTTCTAATCACTTCTGATACATTAGAAGAAGAAAAAATACTGTCAACCTCCTGTATACTTCACTGGAAACAGTGTGCTCTGACACTAGCTACTTAAGCCTTTGGTAAATAAATCACTGAGATCTTTGAGACCATTTTCTCACATGTAGAAAAGGAAGAATATGTACCCTCCTCCCAGGTTTACTCTAAAAATGCATGAGATAAAAGTGCCTGAATCAGCACCCATCATGGAGCAGATTCAACACCTGTCAAATTCCCACAATTTGGCTTACTTTATTTCCTTTTTACCCAACTAAATCCTACTGAACTTTCTGGCCCTTTCCCAAATGCCACTGTGCTGAAACCAAATACTGTAAGATCCATCTCCTGCCCCTTCATTACCATAGTATTTATACAAGTGCAGCTTATTCTTCTGTAGCTAGTAGTTTGGCAGATTGAATCTCCATGGGACTAGACACAAAGCATTGGATTATCTATCAACATAGAAGGAAGACTTAACTTCCCTGCCTCTCTTACCTCCTGCTCTGAGAGAGAGCAGCATTCCACACAAATGGCCAGCAACTAAAAAAGACTTAGCCCACAAACGTTTCGGTAAAATACTATAAGTAGTGCATCTTTAGCATCAGCAAGTACCCCATCAAGGCTTCCTGTAGGCACCTGAATGAGCCACCACTGGGCTTGCTTTCCCTTTCTCCTCTCCAAAGTAACAAAATGAAGTTCAGTCTTCAATGCTCATTAAGCACCCAGGAGATTTTTCCTGCAGATCAAGCAGCCATTAAGCTTAACATGAAAGGCGTGGAGAAGGATGTGACAACTCCTCTTCCAGTCCCAGGTACGTACCATGCCAGGCTTCAGGGCCTCCGCACTCAGCACACGGTTGACATTTTTGGGGTTTAGTGAGAGCTTGACACTCTTTTTGCCACTCTCTGTGATGTTCACACTCCTCACCACACATCTCACCAGCATTCCAGGTGAAAAAAGTTCAGTTAATGGGAGCAAGTCCTGCACAACACCAATGAGAAAGACTTGATATACACTTCTTCTGAATCAAGAATCCACTGCCTAGTCTTGGCTCTTTTCCTTAAACGCTAAAGAACCAGAAAGTGAAGAAAAGCAACCACTTGCCCAAAAAGGAACATGTGTCTGTGGCCAAGTCAGTCCTCAATGTTAGCACAGGACTCCAAATATCTTTATGCAGCATGTTAATTATTGGTCCAAACTGCTGCATTTAAATATATAAACACACATACACGATCTCCATTTCATCTCTTACTCACCAGCTCACTACATACTATTTTCCACCTTTTTATCTTAACTCCCAAGAAAATCTCAAGTAAGCTTTTATCTTGCTAAATCCAATGGTCTGTTTTGTACTCCTTTGTCAGTTGTGGGATTTGAACTCGGAACCTGGGTGCTATTCGTGAGCTCTTTTAAGTCAAAACTAGCACTCTACCACTTTGAGCTACAACTCCACTTTGTTTCCTTGTGGTTAATTGGAGATAAAAGAGTCTCATGGACTTTCCTGCCTGGACTAGCTTCCAACTGCGATCCTCAGATCTTAAGTCTCCTGAGTAGCTAGGATTATAGCGTGAGACACCAACACCTGGTTTGTAGTCCTGGTGCCTGACATGCCAAGCACATTCTCTACCACTAAGCTATATCACAATCCCTCCTATAAGACCTTGAAAAAGCACTTAACGCTATAAGACTATTCCCTTCCTTAAACATTACCTTGCTGGCTTCCACTATTCTTTATTTGATGGTTTTCTTCCCGTTTCTCTATCCTCTCCTGCCTTTTCTGACATCCTTCAACTCAGCACTTATTCTAAATTCATGTATGTCTTTTAGTCTCTTAAGCAACTTCTTCCTTTATAGCTTCTCTTCCCATCTTCTCTCCAAGTTCTAAGGCTTGAACTTAGGGTCTCATTGTCTTGCTTAGCTTTTTGTTCAAGGCTGGTACTCTGTCACTTGAGCCATACTTCCACTTCTGACTTTTCTGCCCAGATGGGCTTCAGATCTTAGCTTCCTGAGTAGCCAGGAGTACAGGTGTCCTCCACAAGCACCTGGATCTTTATAGCTTCTTTTTACCATCTATACAATGGTATGTCTCAGGCTTTTTTTTTGGGGGGGGGGAGCAGCGAGGGTTGGTTGTGGGGCTTCAACTCAGGGCCTAGGCACTGTCCCTGAGATTTTTTTTTTTTGGGTACAGTCGTGGGGCCTGAACTCTGGGCCTGGGCACTGTCCCTCAGCTCTTCAGCTCAAGGCTAGTGCTCTGCCATTTGAGCCACAGTGCCACTTCCGGCTTTTTTCTCTTTGCTTATGTGGTACTGAATCGAACCCAGGGCCTCAGGCTTGCAAAGCAAGGGCTCTACCACTGAGCCACCTTCCCAGCCCACCCTGAGATTTGTTTTGCTCAAGGCTAGCATTCTACCACTTTGAGCCACAGCACCACTTCTGGTTTTCTGGTGGTTAATTGGAAGTAATAGTCTCTTGGACTTTCCTGCCTGGGCTGGCTTTGAACAAGGATCCTCAGACTTCAGCCTCATGAATAGCTAGGATTACAGGTGTGAGCCACTGGCACCTGACCTGTCTCACACATTGTCTTCATCCTAAACTTCCCTAAGCTCAGCAATCACCTGTCAAGTTGATGTCTTAAGTATACCTCAAACTCAACCTATCAGATAGCCAAATCATGCCACATACAACAGAAACATACTCTCTCTGCCTCACTACACCTATCAAATCTACTAACCGTTTTATCTTCTCAGTCCTTGGTAAATGCTGGTTCCAAGCTGTCATCAGTACTTTAGCACTCTCTTACCTGATCTCTAATCAACTACTCATGCCTTTTCCGTCCTATCCAATGAGAACATTACAAGGATATCCCTTTTATTCTACAATTTAAAACCAATGCTTAGGCCTGGCGCTGGTGGCTCACGCCTGTAATCCTAGCTACTCAGGAGGCTGAGATCTGAGGAATGCAGTTCAAAGCCAGCCTGGGCAGGAAAGTCCATGAGACTCTTTTTTTTTTGTTGGTCGTGGGGCTTGAACTCTGGGCCTGGGCGCTGTCCCTCAGCTCTTCAACTCAAGGCGAGCGCTCTACCACTTGAGCTATAGCGCCACTTCCAGTTTTCTGGTGGTTTATTGGAGATAGGAGTCTCACGGTCTTTCCTGCCCGGGCTAGCTTTGAACCGAGATCCTCAGATCTCAGCCTCCTGAGTAGCTAGGATTACAGGCGTGAGCCACCAGCACCCGGCCCATGAGACTCTTATCTCCAATAAACCACTAGAAAACCAGAGGTGGCACTGTGGCTCAAGGGGTATAGTGCTTGGCTTGAGCTGAAGAGCGCAGGGACAGCACCCAAGCACTGAGTTCAAGCCCCACGACCGATCAAAAAAAAAAAAAAAAAGCTTAGCCAGGTGTCAAAGGCTCATTATTGTTCAAGCGGTAGAGTGCTTGCTAGCCTTAAGCAAAAGAAGCAGTCACATTCCTGTAATCCTACTTATTCAGCAGAGGACTGAGGTTCAAAGCCAGCCCAGGCAAACAAATTAAGAGATTCTTATCTTCAATTAAGCAGAAAAAAGCTTAAAAAAGAAGTGAAAATGTGACGCATATGAGCCTTCAGCAAAAAAAAAAAGCCATGCAACAGTGGCACACAACACACACACACACACACACACACACACACACACACACACACACACAATAACCAATCTTAATACAGTCTACAAAGTTCCATTCAGCTCTCTGGCACCATTCCACATCACAGTATGCCTTGCTCTTTCTATTCTAGCAATACCAGTCTTCTCAGTTTCACAATGTTCTTCTTCTGCCTGATTTCCCTCCATCCTGTACCCAGGAAACCATTACCCTTCAGATCACAGCCCCGCATCCCTTCCTTACACAGGCTTTCCAGGCTCTCTGGATTAAGTCAAAAGTCATCTTATCGTTTAACAAACCAACTCTAATTATAAATTTCTTATAAACTATCACGGAACATACATTTCCTTTGGATACCACCTATTCCAAAGAATAGTTTTTCACCCAGATTTCCCTTACCTGCAGAGGTTCTTCTTGCGCTACCTGCTCATTCAGCTTTTTGTTGTAGGCATCACAGATTTCAGTCACTTGTACAAATCCCTGGAGGCCATTGGGGAGACTGACCACCAGTTCCAGCTCATTTACCTCTTTCACACAACCCAAAATTCGCATCCCCTCACATAGAGACTAGAAGAGAAAGAGAGAAATGTGTATGAAATAGTGGGATCCAATTTTAAAATATATACATTTGTGTATCTCTATACATTTATCAGATATGTAACTGAGCATTGTAAAAGGTCTAGACCAAACAGTACTGAGTGGGATTTTACAAGCTTTACCATATACCAAGCAACACAAACATATGCCTGGTAGTCAACACTGTAAGGGCAAGAGGCCAATAGAAACAGTGCCTGTCAAGATTGTACATGGGGGGGTGGGGAGGATGGGAGGGCAGGGATGGTAAGGGGAAACAAAGGAGATTCAACAATGCTTGATAAGAAATGTACTCATTACCTTGCTCATGTAATTGTAACCCCTCTGTACCGTATTTTCACAATAAAAAAATTAATTAAAAAAAAAAGATTGTACATGGACAGCTGGAAACGTGGTTTAGTGGCAGAGTGCTTACCTAGCATGCATGAAGCCCTGGATTCAATTCTTTAGTACCACATAAACAGCCAGAAGTGGCTCTATGGATCAGTGGTAGACCACTAGCCTTGAGCAAAAGAATCTCAGGGACAGTGCCCAGGCCCTGAGTTCAAGCCCTAGGACTAGCAAAAAAAAAAAGATTGTACATGGTGATTTTTGAAGCTATCACCACCTTATAGCTCCTTGTGATCACAAAAGAAATGGGCTTTGCGTTGTCACCATGTTCAAATTTCCATGATGACCCAGAATCCTATGTTTATGTGAAACGTCTCTCTTTTTTTGCTTTAGTTTTGGCAGTAACTCAGCGCCTTGAACTTGTCAACTAGTCTAACAGCTGAACCATTCCTCCAGTTAAATTTCTAGTTTTCTATCATTGGCACCAATATTATTATTTGTTTTTAATATCATCCATGACAAACAAATACTCCTGCAGGCTAAATCTGACCATCTGACTTCTCTTTTCTCCTTTATATCTAACATATACTGGAAGTTATAACCTAAAACGTTTTTGAGGGGGAAATATAATCTAAACCTTTAAAAGGAACATAAACCAAATCTCTCTGAAGTAATGTCACATCTATAAAATGACTTCTTAAAGTTACCCTTAGTTCTAATCTTTGAATGTATTAAAACACAACTATGAAAACACAAGGCCTGAACCCTGGGCCTAGGCGCTGTCCCTCAGCAATTCAGCTCAAGGCTAGTGCTTTACCACTTGAGCCACAGCGCCACTTCTGGCTTTTACTGCTTATGTGGTGCTGAGGAATCGAACCCAGGGCCTCACGCATATAAGGCAGGCACTCTACCACTGAGCCACCTTCTTAGCCCCCAGACTATAACATCTTAAGAAAATAAACAGACCTCATGCATTGGTTAACATTAAAAGAAATACTTGAAAATTATCAGCACAATCAAGTTTCTACAGACATATAGACAAACATGAAATATATATGTGACAAAAGAATGATGGCTGGGAAGGTGGCTCAGCAGTAGAGTGCTTGCCTCACCTGCATGAGGCCCTGGGTTCAGTTCCTCAGCACCACATAAACAGGAAAGGCCAGAAGTGGCACTGTGGGTCAAGTAGTAGAGGGCTAGCTAGCCTTGAGCTGAAGAGCTCAGGGACAGTGCCCAGGCCTAGAATTCAAGCCCCATGACAAAAAAAAGAAGGAAAAGGGGAAAGAAGAAGAACATATATAGCTGGGTGCCAGAGGCCCATGCCTGTAATCCTAGCTATTCAGGAGACTGAGATCTGAAGATTATGGTTTAAAGCCATCCAGGAAGGAAAATTCGTAAGATTCTTATCTCTGATTAAAACATCAAAAATAGCTGGAAACAGAACTGTGGCTAAAGTGGTAGACAGAGCCTTGAGGACAAAAGCTCAGGGAGAGCGCCCAGGCCCTGATTCAAGCCCTAGGACCAGCACAAAAACAAATGAAAAAACAAAACATAACCAAAAAAAAAAAAAAAAGATACAGAAACTTAAACAATCATGGTAGTATGTTTAAAGCAAAACAAAAAAACAACAACACAACAAGGGGGGGGGCACCAATAGCACCAGTGGTGCATGCCTGTAATTCTAGCTACTTGGGAAGCTGCAATCTGAGGATCATGGTTCAAAGCCAGTTGGGGCAGGAAATTCTGTGAGACTCTTATCTCCAATTAATCACCAAAATGTTGGAAGTAGAGCGGTAAGCGGTAGAGCTCTAGTCTTGGTCAAAAAAGCTTAAGCACACACACACACACACACACACACACCTACCTTAAGGGCAGTGCCCAGGCCCTGAGTGCACGCACGCACACGCACACGCGCGCACACACACACACACATACACACACACCCCTACCTTAAGGACAGTGCCCAGGCCCTGAGTGCGCGCACGCGCGCGCACACGCGCACACACACACACACACAGAGCTTAAGGGTAGCTTAAGCGGTAGACCTCTAGTCTTGGTCAAAAAAAGCTTAAGTACACACACACACACACACACACACACACACACACACACACAGCTTAAGGGTGGCTTAAGCGGTAGAGCTCTAGTCTTGGTCAAAAAAGCATAAGTACACACACACACACACAGCTTAAGGGTGGCTTAAGCGGTAGAGCTCTAGTCTTGGTCAAAAAAGCATAAACACACACACACACACACACACACACACCTACCTTAAGGGCAGTGCCCAGGCCCTGAGTGCACACGCACACACACACACCCCTACCTTAAGGACAGTGCCCAGGCCCTGAGTGCGCGCGTGCGCACGCACACACACACACACACACACAAACACACCCCTACCTTAAGGACAGTGCCCAGGCCCTGAGTGCAAGGTCCAGGACCAGCACAAGCAAACAAACAAAAATACAACAAATGTTAACATACCTCAACACTAAGGATTTCAAACTTTTCTTTTTTAGACTTGTTGCTTTCTCGCTTTTCAATTTTCAACCTTTTTGTTTTTGTTTTCTCTTTCTGTATCTTTTTCCTTTTGGTGGATTCTTCTTTGGTGGAAATCTAAAAGGGGAAAAAACATCCATGAAGATTCAAAAGAATGAGAAACAGCAATTTTAGCTTTCCTTTTGTTACTCTTACCCCACCTCACTTTCAACTGCTTTTTTAATTCCTACTATGATCCCAGTTCTCCTATTCAGCCAACAATGTTGCCTTTGCCCAAAGTCTGTGAAATTTTCTTCATGTTCCCTATGTTTTCTCTCTGCTGGCTTCCTCCTTGGACTGGTTTGAACATCTGAATTCCCTAGCTTGAGAAGCAATGTGGATGTTTTATACATGAAAATTTTCAAGTAAATATACAGCCTTCCTCATCTTGGTTCCTCATCATGGAATTGCAATCTCTACTTCATAGTATACTTGGAAATCCTAAGACCATACATTCAAATATTAGTTCCCTGCCTATTCTAAGTGAGACTAAAAACTGTAATGCAAATTCTGACCATTTTATGAGGCAAAGATCCCATTTAAAAATGCAATGATTTAAGGTTCGGCTGGAAGCCTGTAAATCTAGCTACTCAGGAGAATGAGATCTGAGAATCAAAGTTCAAAGCCAACTAGAGGAGGAGAAAAACCGAAGACTATTATCTCCAATTAACTACCATAAAAACCAGAAGTAGAGCTATGGCTCATGTATTAGCCTCAAGCAAAAAAATTCAGGGACAACTGCCAGGCCCTAAGTTCAAGACCCAGGACAGAAACAGACACACAGCCAGACACAGAGACAGACAGAGACTGACAGAGACAGACAGACAGACACACACACACACACACACACACACACACACACACAGAGTGATCAAACACTTTTTTCTCCATCCTTAATCAAATGGCACAAAATTACTATGGAAAAGATACAAACTCAAATAAAATGAATTTCCTGGGCTGGGAAGGTGGCTCAGTGGTAGAGCGCTTGCCTTGCATGCATGAGGCCCTGGGTTCAATTCCTCAGCACCACATAAGCAAAAAAGAAAAAAGCCGGGAGTGGCGCTGTGGCTCAAGTGGTAGAGCCGAAGAGCTGAAGAGCTGAAGAGCTGAGGGACAGGGCCCAGGCCCAGGGTTCAAGCTCCACAACTGGACCCAAAAAAAATAAATAAAATCTTTTAAAAAATAATAAAATAAATGAATTTCCTCAAAGACAAGGCCTTGAAATGGTATAAACTCTCTAACAAGTTCAATTTACAGAAGCAGATTTTAACAAAAAACAAATATGGAAAATAACGTAAGTCTCAACAGGCTCACTAAAGAAGCATATCACTTACATCAAATAAGTTGTCTTGTTCAACTGACTGCTGGAAAGATTTCTCTGGTTTGTGGGTTTTCCTTGTACCCCCTCGGGGGAAACTTTCTTCTAGGGTTGCCATGTTCGTTCTCCTAAAAAATAATCAAAAATAATCATGGGTAAATGCAGCATGAGGAGCAGGCTTCATAAAGGCTGTGACCACTAGGTAAGACAATTTTCTACCAAGAAGCTAGACAAGATACAGAACTATCACCTGGATAGTTCAGATGTCAGGTCCCTGTTAATCCACTTTTCATCTTTCCAAAGGGGTCTGATTCAAAATTACAAACCTTCCTCCAGGAAAAACAATGTACGAAATACTCATTAAGCAAAGTCTTTACATCAGAAATATATTAATGAATATATAAACCGTTACTTTCAACTGAACATTTTAGAAGGGAAATCAACTACATAAATATATATATATATGTGTGTATATATATGCATATATATATATATATACCAGAGTATAAACCATAAACAAAAAGGAAGTGAGTTTCAAAAGGAAGATGCTTTTGAATTGAATGTTAAGTTGGATAGATATAAAAACAATGTGCGGAACAGTAATGTTTAAAAAAAAAGGAAAAGTCTATTATTTCAATAAGTACCAATAACATACTTATTGAACAATTACTCAAAGACTTAACTTTGAAGAATTATTCTTTCTTTGAAGAATTATTCAACTAAACCACACAGAGATTAAAACATAATCGGAGGTAATTTTAAAAGACAGGTTGGGCTTTATGTGGAAGATATTAAATTACAATAAAATAGTTTATCTTGCAAATCAAAGACTTGCTTAAGGGAAGTGACAGAACATTAACTGGAAAAATACTGTAATCTCAGCGACCCAGAAAGTGGAGAATGGGAGGCTTTTGGTTTGTGACCAGCTCTAACAGCCTAACAATTCTAACACCCACCCCCATCCAAAAAAAAAAAAAAAAATCTCAGCAAACAAGCGTGGCATGCTGGCCAAGCTTTTAAGGAATATCACAGTGCCAGGACAGCCTAGGCAAAACCCACAAGACCTTACTTGAAAATTAAAGCAATAAAATGGATGTGGACGTGGCTCTGAGTTCAAACTTCAGTAAAGAAAATGGAAAGAAAGCTATACTACTTCAGGCTATAGATTTCGGACAGGAAAAGAAGACTGTAGGGAAGCAAATCAGGAAAGATCCAAATGAAATACAGCGGGGAAATCATGAGAACCAGAACTAGGTATAAATGAGGACGGAAGACAGGTGTTGGTTCTGACAGATGCTTTGTGAATAAGAATCTAGGAGAGTTTGAGACTGGAGAAGAGGAGACAACTGAGAGGGAATTTAGGATTTCGCATCAAGTATGGGAAGGGGCGTGTTTCACAGAAACAGAAAAGTTTAAGTGCAAGGGGTCCAGCGTGTGGGAGTCCAACCCCTTTCGGACCAGAGAAAAGCGAGGTTCCAAAGGTCTCGGCGATCAGGGGAAGAGGATTCAGGCTTCTTCCCAAGGAAAGAATGGGACCCACTCCGATCGGCAGATGCCTGGGCAAGGGGGCCAGGGGACCTGGCTCCGGAACAGACCTAAGAGCAAAAAAGGTTTACTGACGTCTTGTTTGCGTCTCCTCACTCACCCGTACTAGAACGCAGGCGCCTCGCTAGCCCAGACCACAGGCTGAGTCTTCTCTCACGCGGAATTAAGACCCGGGCACCTACCGCTCCATGCTGCTCTTCCGGAAGTTGGGGCGGGCTTAACGTTACTTCCGTTCTCTAGCGGCCGGCTCGAGTGGGTACCGGAAGCGGAAGGGCGGGACTTAGCGCTCTATCCAATCAGCTCAAGAGACCCAGTCTTTGGGTCCGTTGGGTGCGAGAGGCGGGGGCAGGCGGACTCCTTCCGGTTAGGCTAAGTCGGTGTCTTCGTTGTTTGAAGGACGTCGGCCGTCGAATTTGTGACTTTGGCCAAGGTAGGTGCAGAGGGGCTCTCGGGCTCAGACCTTGCGCTTGGCTTTGAGGAGCAGATTTGATACTCTGACGGTTTCAGATCCGGTAAACACCGCGAGATCTTCCCTGGGCATGGGGACATGATGGGATCCGGGAGGGACCGGAGAGGCAGGGAAAATGAGAGTCGGGGCCAGAGGACGCGCTCAGCCGCCGAGCGACCTCAGGCCCCCAAACTCGCCAGGCTCCCGAAGCCCTTTAGATTATATTTTGCAGTGGAGAGAGAGACAGAGAAAAACAGAGACAGAGACTCGCCACGAATAGAGTTCCCCAAGGTCACTCATTGACCGAATGTTGGACTAGAACTCGGGCTTTCGACCCCATCGCTGGCCGGGGCTGCCTCCTTTGGTGTGAATGGCGAATGGCCCGGGCGGCTGGCTTCCACGACGAGGAAGATGGCAGCCAGACCGCCTTTAAGCAGGCCTCAGCCATGGTCCATCGTCCAAGTGAGAGTGACGCGTGATTCGGCCGCTGACGGCGCACGGTCCCTAGGTTCGATTTCAGTCTGTAGGTGATCCTCGGGAAGAAAGGCTTTTTTCCTTGGAGAAATCCAGAATTGTCTGGATATATTTTTGGCTGTAAATGTTTGGCATGCAAGAGATTCTTCCTGGTCCCCGAGCGCTTCTCTTTGCCTTTTACCTCTACCTAGTGATCTTACTGTTCCGGATAGATGTTCAATGAGACAGGACAACAGCAGTGACTGAAGACCTAGCAAGTACAACTGGCCACCATTGGCCTTTAATGAAACGCCTATTTCACAGGCAGACAAGGGCATGTGGTTGTATTTAATAATGGTTAACGGCTTAGAAACTGGCACTTAATTAGCGGCCAAACTGTTATATAGCTATATTCCACTAACCTGTGAGGCTGAAGTTGGAGGATCGCTAATTGAATACTATACAAGGCTCTGTCTCTAAAAAATAAAGACAAAAACATACAAAAAAAAGAGGAATCCCTATTTTCTACCAGTTTGTTACTTAACATTAATTCACAAGTTGACAAGTATGAATCTTAGGTGATTTTTCTCCTTAATATGTCTTAAGAAAACCAAATTATAGGGCTGGGAAGAAGGCTCAGTAGTAGAGTGCTTTCCTTGCATGCATGAGGCGCTAGGTTCAATTCCTCAGCACCACATAAGCAGAAAAAGCCAGAAGTGGTACTGTGGCTCAAGTGGTAGAGCGCTAGCCTTGAGCTGAAGAGCTGAGGGACAGCGCCCAGGCCCAGAGTTCAGGCCCCACGACCGGACCCAAAAACAAACAAACAAACAAAATTATAATTCGCTGATCCTGAGGGCATTGTTAACACAAACTGTTGTGATCTTAGTCCTGATCTTTGTTGAAGGGTTCAGGCTAAGATTTCAGCTTTCACTGTTGTTTTATTATCCCACCTCACTGTTTTTATTATTAGAAACATCCCACTCCTTGCCATCCCAGCCTCTCATGAGTCCTTTAAGACCCCCACTAAAATTCAGTTTTGTACTAAGTCCTTTCCTAAAGAATTGGTAATCTGTGGAATATTGTAAACATCAGCCTGCAGTATTATGTTCACTAGAGTAAATTTTAAAGTACTATAATATTGTTTTAGTTGGACACAACAATCTCTTAAAGTTTAGGAGCTGGATGAACTCACAAAGTTAAAGTTGATGAATCCTAAAATTGAAGCCTTGTTTGCCTGGTTTCCTTATTAAAGCATCATGAAATGAATAATATATATATATATATATATATATATAAAACTTTAGTATGTTTAGTAAGATGAATTAGTAAGACAGAAAATTTACATCATTAAAGTTTCTCTATGGTGTGTGTGTGTCCATCTGTCCGTCCATCCATCCATCCGTCCATCCATCCATCCTTGTGCCCATCAATCTGTCCATTCATCTCTCTCCTAGGGTTTGAACCCAGGACATACATACATCTGTCCTGGTGTTTGAACCCAGGACTTAGTCACTGTCTCTGAGTTTTTTTGCTCAAGGCTGGCACTCTACCACTTAAGCAACAGCTTACTTCCAACCTTTTGGAAGTTAATTGGCGATGAGTCCCATGACTTTGCTGCCTAGATTGGCAGGTTAGGTTAGCTGATCCTCAACTTCCTGAATAGCTAGGATTACAAGTGTGAGCCACCAGCATCCAGCATAAAGGTTTCATTTAATGGAGATTGTGCTGCTTTGGCTAGATTGCCCAGTAGTTGTGAAGGGTCCTAAGGAAGTTTAGATTTTCTTTATTGTTCCAATAGCCTTTTTGAAAGTATCCAAAAATAAGTTCTCAATTTTTTATTGTCAAATCTTCCCACATCACAAGCCTCTGAAGACAGTTGAATAATGAACAGGGGAGTCATAGGGGAGTAATATTTCCGTTGCAATGACTTCCCTTTCTGTTCTCTCTTCCATTTCCTCAAGACTTTCCTGGGAAGTCCACCAGACCTCACCCAGCTCTTGTAAGTTACCAATCAAATAGATATGTTATTGTAGACAGGTGGTCACACGTACACATTTTCAACTGTTCTGGTGTATTTTTTGAAGATGTGTCCCCTAGGTTTTTTGGGGTTTTTTTGTGCACCAGTTCTGGGGCTTGAACTCAGGGTCTGGGAACTGTCCCTGAGCTTCTTTGGCTCAAGGCTAGCACTCATAACACTTGAGCCACAGCGCCACTTCCAGCTTTTTCTGTTTATGTGGTACTGAGGAATCGAACCCAGGGCTTCATGGATGCTAGGCAAGCACTCTACCACTAAGCCACATTCCCAGCCGAGTCCACAATTTTTTTCCCTCCTATTTGGTGGTACTACAGTTTGAACCTAGGGACTTGTGCTCACAAGGGCAGATAATCATTAGAACCATGTCCCAATGTCCCAGCCCTTTTATTTTTTATTTTTTAGTAACATCAATTAGTTGTATCAGGGGCTTTCATTTTAACATGTCCTTTTTTTTTTGGTCATGGGGCCTGAACTCTGGGCTTGGGCGCTGTCCCTCAGCTCTCCAGCTGTAGACTAGCGCTCTACCACTTGAGCCTCAGCCCCACTTCTGGCTTTTTCTGCTTATGTGGTGCTGAGGAATCGAACCTAGGGCCTCATGTATGCAAGGCAAGCACTCTAGACCACTGAGCCACCTTCCCAGCCCCAACATGTCCATTTTTTAATACAGTGTATCTTCTTGGTCAGAGTTGCTGTCATCCTCTTCCCTTTCATTATTTTAATAGGGCTTGCCTTTATGCATAGCACAGCCTGTACCTTGATCATCCTATTTGTATTTCCTACTCAGAATGACAGGCACATGCTGTCATGTTCAGCTTTTTGTTGTTGAAATGAGGCCTTGAGAACTTTTTACCCAGGCTGGCCTTGAACTTTGAGCCTCCTGATTTCTGTCTTCTGGGTAGCTTGGATTACTGAGCTATAACACCTGGCCTGTTATCACTTAGAAAAATGAAATGCATGTCTTTGTAAAGTACACAAACAATTTGGGGGGGGGGGAGTCAGTCGTGGGGCCTGAACTCAGCCTGGGCGCTGTCTCTAAGCTCTTCAGCTATAGACTAGCACTCTTACCACTTGAGCCTCAGCCCCACTTCCAGCTTTTTCTGCTTATGTGGTGCTGAGGAATTGAACCTAGGGCCTCATGCATGCAAGACAAGCACTCTACCACTGAGCCACCTTCCCAGCCCTATATTGCAATTAGTCTTTTTTTTTCTTTCCATTTTCATCATTGTAGTTTCTTCTCAACTTCAGTGTACATTGAATGTAGCTATAGATCTTATTAAAATAGATAGCTGGGTCCCAGAGTTTCTAAATCAGTAGGCCTATGGTAAGGTCTGAGAAGTTGCATTTCTATCAAGTTTCTGGTGAAGCTGGTGCTGCTGGTCTAAGGGTCAGATTTTGAGAACGATTGATGTGCTCTACATAGTCCAGAAATGGGATTTTTTTAAACATTTAACATTACTTGAAAACTGATCTCTTTCCATGTTATGCAAAGATCTTTGCATATTTTATTTCCCTTATTGGAAATCACTGCTTATCAGCCTTGATAATGGGTATTTATTTTTCCAGTTTTTACCTTTCATGAACAGTATTTCAATGACTTTGTGTGAATCAGATAATATATTTCCTTCTTTTTTTTTTTTTGGTCGGTCATGGGGCTTCATCTCAAGGCGAGCGCTCTACTGTTTGAGCCACAGCGCCACTTCCAGTTTTCTAGTGGTTTATTGTAAATAAGAGTCTCACAGACTTTTTTTGGCTTTGAACCATGATCCTCAGATCTCAGCCTCCTCAGTAGCTAGGATTATAGGCATGAGCCACCGAGGCCGGTGGGCTCAGATAATATATTTCTACCTTGTGATTCTCCTGGAGAAAAGAACCAGCTAGGTGGAAGAGTATACTATATAATTTGCTAGATACTTTAGGAAGGCTTACCAGTTTACACTCCAAGTAACAGAGAATTCTAAGTCCTAAGTTAATAACATTGCTTGTTAACAATTTAATTGTGCCAGTTTGATAGTTAAATATCAGTCCATTTTACATTACATTCTTCTATTTTGTTACACAAAGAGTAATAATTCCAGATTCCGTACCACCAATCGCTTCTGTCAACTCCCTTTAATAAATGATCTTTTTTTTTTTTTTAATATTGCCTTTTCTATTCTTTTTTTTTTGGTCCGGTCGTGGGGCCTGAACTCTGGGCCTGGGCGCTGTCCCTTAGCTCTTCAGCTCAAGGCTAGCACTCTACCACTTGAGCCACAGTGCCACTTCCGGCTTTTTTCTTTTTGCTTATGTGGTGCTGAGGAATCGAACCCAGGGCCTCATGCATGCAAGGCAAGCACTCTACCACTGAGCCACCTTCCTAGCCCTCCATGGAAATCTTAAGTGATTTATGATAAGAAAAATTATTTAAAGTAGCGTTTTAAGTCATTGTTTAGATGGTGGTCATTTTCCTGAGATTATGGTTTGAGAAACATCACAAATTCCGACTTTGAAGTAGTCTAGAAAGTTAACTCAGTGTGGATAGTCAGAAATAAAAATATTAAGCTATACCACAGTCTAGATAATTGGCTTTTGACTCTTGTTCTCATCATATGCTGAATGATTTGACCTTTCCTGGAAAGTCTGAAATAGTAACCAGGGTAAAATTCTACTTCCAAAAATTCCTCTTAACAAGGCTCTTCTACCATCTTTTTACAATGTAGTTAAAAACCATAAAGTTGGGCTGAGAATGTGGTTTAGTGGTAGTGTTTACCTAGCATGCACGAAGCCCTGGGTTCTATCCTCAGTACCACATAAACAGAAAAAGCCAGAAGTAGCACTGTGGCTCACGTGGTAGAGCACTAGCCTTGAGCACAAAGAGGTTCAGGGACAGTGCCCAGGCCTTGAGTTTAAGCTCCAGGACCAGAAAAAAAAAAAAAAAACATATATATATATATATATATATACACACACACACATACATATACACTCACACACTCACACACATATGTATATGGTTATAGTGATTTTTTACTTTTTAAATTAAAAAATTTTTTTTAAAAAAACTTTTTCTTTTTCACCCAAACCAATTTATTGCTTGCTTTTTTCTTTTTAAGATTGACATCATGGCAGGCGCAGAAAATGAAGGCCAATTCCAGTTCACTGGTATTAAGAAGTATTTCAACTCATACACTCTCACGGGTAGAATGAATGTAAGTATTATATGTGTATATATATATGGTATGAGGAATGGAACCCAGAGCTTCATGCATGCTAGGCAAGCACTTGACCACTAAGCCACCTTCCCAGTCCTAAGCAGTTGTTTTAAAATATAGATGTAATGATGATTCTCCTTTTCTCCCCTACCCCCACTCCACAGTGTGTACTGGCCACATATGGAGGCATTGCTTTGCTGGTCTTATACTTTAAGTTAAGGTCTAAAAAGACTCCAGCTGTGAAAGCAACATAAATGGTAAGGAATTTAAGTTTTTAATCATTTTAATATTAGTTTTTCTTCCCAATAGTTTACTATAAAAAGTAAATGCAAGCATTGGGTACAGGAGCACACACCTATGTAATCCTAGCTTTTAGGAGGTGGAGATGGGAGAATTGTAGTTTTAAATAAGAGCTAACCTGTGAATTTCTGTGAACATTTCGTGTTTGTGTTTATGTGTGTGTGTGTGGTGTGTATCTCACTGTCTCGTTCCTGGGACTTGAACTTGGCACAGCGGTGCTGTCCTTGAGCTTTTTGGTTCAAGTATAGTCTACCTCTTGAGCCACAGCTCCACTTCCAGATTTTTGCGGGTGGGGTTAATTGGAGATGAGTTTCAGGGACTTTCTGCTCACATTTGGCTTCAGATCAACCTCCTGAGTAGCTAGGATTACAGGTATGAGCCACTAGCACCCAGCTGATTAAGCTTTTTTAAAATGTGGTTGGTTCCCAGTGGTTTTGATGATTGTAATTTCATAAGTATTTTTCTAATGATTGGGCTTTTGCTGTTCATAGATAGGTGGACTATTTCATAGGAGTAATCTGTCTCATAAGTTCTGTAGCAAAAGCTTTAAAGCATGAAGTATCTATATGAATGTTTCCTTAGGTTAAGATGCTTGCCCAAAGGATTATGAAACAATAAGCTTTAGCTTTTGCTTTCGCCGATATGGAGTATCAGTTTCTTGGATATGATGAATAAAAGATAGGTCTTGTGCTTTTTTTCTTTTACCATTTATTTTTGTAGTGTGGTTTTTGCAGTACTGGGGTTTGAACTTGGGCCTATAACAGTACACTTGTGTGCGTGCATGTGCTCGCGTGTGCATGGACACACACTTTCAGATAGGGTCTTGCAATTTTTGCCAGGGTCAGCCTGAGACCCATGATCTTCCTACCTATGCCTTCTATAGCTGGGATGAGGGCTGAGCAACTGGACCCAACATGATGTACATGTTTAACAACTGGGTGGCTGGCTGGAGGGGAGATATGCAGATGCATATTAGGCAAGCTAGGCTCTGAAACAGAACTGTACCCTAGCCCCAACCATTATATGCATCTGCAAGTAACTTGTTATAGTTTCAGGCTTCATTCATATATGTGTGTGTGTTTTGTTTTTGTCATTGGTTGTGGGGCTTAAACTCTGGGCTTGGGCACTTGCTGTCCCTGTGCTCTTCAGCTCAAGACGAGCACTCTACCCCTTAAGCTACAATGCCATTTCTGGTTTTCTAGTGGTTTATTGGAGATGAGTCTCATAGACTTTCCTGCCTGGGCTGGCTTTGAACCATGATCCTCAGATCTCAGCCTCCTGAGTAGCTAGGATTATTCCCACCTTGGGCTCTTTTTAGCTACCTATCCTTAAGTAAACATCTTTGGTGTTGACAATAAACAATGAACCATAATCCCCAAATCTACATTTTCAGCTAAAAGTTTTTCAGAAAATTTCCAACATATCAGCCCAAAGGGACTACATATCCCAAAATGCAGTGGTCTGAAGCCTGTTCCTGACAAAACAGGCAGTATTTTCCAAATCTCCATGTAACTTTTAACTTTGAGAAGGAGGTAGCATCTCCACAAAAATGGGAAGCTGTATTCAGATATTAAATTTTAAAATGCGTGTTTTTCTTTAAATGTTACTTTCTATAGTAGTTTTTCCAGGAGTTTGCCTTTAGGCATATACCAAATTGTTTAGCAATTTCTTTGTTAAAGGTAAAATATTACACTGAAACATACCAATTATGAGAGAAGTCTTGGTTTTTTTCCCTTATTGACTCTTTTTGAGAATACTATGAGTTTATGTTCTGTTTCTGAAGGGCTCATGATTAGTACTGTCATAGTATTTAAAGAATACCTTAAAAGTAGAACTGAACACATTTGTGTCAAACTGTTTTTGCTTTGTTTATAGGATTCTAAATTTTCTGAGCTCATCTGTTAAATTCCCAAGCCTGGAGAAGCTAATGTCAACTCATCATGTAATATTCAATTTGTACAATAAATTATGAACCTGGAAAAAGCTGGTTGTCTTTATTTACAAGATATCAAAAATATAAAAACTGTACAAAATGCAACAAAGGCAAAAACTGGCAGTGACTTGGTCTAAATCTTAGTTTTCCAAAGCAAGGCTCAGTACTGGAGGTAAGCAACTGAAATGTCTGTCTGACTTCAAGTGTACTAGGTTGTATGTATTTTAGCTGAAGTAGAATATGGAAGCTAAACTTCTTCACCAGGTTTATAGTGTTTAGTGCACTCAAATAGTTTAAATTGAGATGTCAGTGGATGGTTGTACTTCTCTAGATCTTGGGAAGGAATTGTTCCCTGTACTCATTTACATACATTCCACTAATTATAGGTCAAGAAAAACATGTTAGTGGATCATTTAACATAGTACTTGAGTGCATACAGTAACTTCATTTTACAGCAGAAAATACACATGCTCGTAGAAGTCTTCAGCTAAAATTCAAGATGGTATTTCTTAATTTGAATCTTGAAGCAGGATGAATTTCCTCAAACTTCTTTTTTCTAAACATAATAAATTAAAATAGCATTTGAACAGAAAATGCATAGTTTCCACACAATCCGAAGCACCATAATGTCTCTTCCACGAACGTAATACCTCTTATTCAACTAACGGAAATTAGTTAAACGTGGTTGCTATAAAAACGTGGAACTATCCTGTTCAGATTTTCAAAGCAGCATACTTCAAGATCCATATAGACAACATTCTTTGTAGCTTAAATATTAAACACTGAGGTATTTGCTTTTAGTCTCCCTTTTTCAAACAGTAGCTTCCAAAAGGTCTTTAATACCGTTGATTTATTGCGGACTATAAGCTCCTGCAGCCAGAACCAAGTTTCTTCGAGTAAAATGGAGGTGTACAACTGGTGTTGATTTGGTCATATATGTACCCAATAATAACTCCTGTGAATTCTCAGGTAAATTTATATGGCCAGTGGCTGTAGTAAAGTCATCAGTCTCTAAATCTTCAAATGCTTTTATGGCATCCCATAACCGGACTGTATTATCCATTGAACCTAGGAAGAAGGCAAAGGAAACCTTTTTGTTTGTCAGTCCTAGGGTGAACTCAGGGCTTGGGCACTGTCACTGAGCTGCTTTCACTCAAGGCTAGCAGTCTACCATTTGAGGAACAGTGCCACTTGTGGCTTTTTCTGTTTATGTGGTACTGAGGAATAGAACCCAGTGTTTTGTGCATACTAGGCAAGCACTCTACCACTAAGCCACATTCCCAGCCCCTATGTATTTATAGTTCATGCTAAAAAAAAAAAAATGTAAACCTTTATCCCAAAGCCATTAATCATTTACCTGAGGCCAAAATTTCACCATCTCTACTAAATCTAAGTGAACAGACTGTATCAGTATGGCCTTTTAATTCTCCAACCATCAAACCATGTCCAATATCCCAAAGGAGTACTCTGCCATCTGTTGCTCCTGTAGCCAGGAATCTCCCATTGGGAGAAAATGTCAAGGAATGAATTGGTCCCTAGGAAAGAAAAGATCAAACTAGAGTTAAGTATATCCAAAAACCTAAAGCAGAATTTTAATGTTATGAATATTATCTTTAAAATTATTTATTTTTGGTTGGTTAAAAGATATTTTTGGTCCAGGCACGAGTGGCTTACACCTGTAAACCTAGCTACTCGTCTAGATGAAACTTGAGGTTCAAGATTTGAAGCCAGCCCAGGTAGGAAAGTACATGAGACAGATTTCCAATTAACCAACAACAACCAGAAATGGAGCTATTGCTCCAAGTGGTAGATTGCCAGCCTGGAGTAAAAAAGCTAAGGGACAGTGTTAGGCCCTGAGTTCAAGCTCCAGTACTGGCACACACACAAAATGTTTGGAATTGTAAGTATGGCTCAAGTGGTAGAGTGCCTGCCTAGAAATCACAAGGCCCTGAGTTCAAGCCCAGAAAAAAAGAGACATGTCTGTCAATCTTCCCATTGAGAGTTGGAGACCTATCCTTCAAACAATGATTAATATTAATATCTAAAAGGTTCTTAGACATTAATCACTTGGAACCAATAAGACAGAGAAGAAGTAAGGTTGAGTGACCTCCAATGCTAGGCAGTAGGCAAAGAAAACTTCTGTTTCTAGCCAGGCTATAAAACTATCGTGGACATCCCTCTACACAAACAACAAAAGACCATTTTTATCTTGAAAAGTGCTGGAATAATAAAGGTAAAATACCTTGTGTCCAGTGAAGATCCTTACACAGTTACCATTCAAAACATCCCAGAGCCGCACAGTTCTGTCTGCGGAGCCAGTAGCCACATAATTTGAATTGGGATGGAATCTTGTACAATTCACATCAGCAAGATGGCCAGCAAATATCCTTAAAGGCTGATAGTGGTCTGTGGCCCAGAGTCTTTTAAAGTTATAAAAGCAGGAAATCACAGTTAATAGAATATTTCACCATAGTTTTGGCTATCTCCTAATTAGTTTCTAACCTGTGCTACCTCATCTGGAACTTTCAAGGAAATGACATAGAGACAAAGGTATTCACAATGGTAGTGGCAAAAAAAGAATGTCTGACAGGAGGAGCATATAAAATAGCCAAAAGCAGTGCTTTTGCTAAAGACATGATTGCAGATACAATAACTCCTGTCCTAAATTCATTTTCAAACAAAAGCTACAAATACTGATATTCTGAATAAGTTGAAGTAGAAATGAACAGACCCAATCAAAAGATTAAACTGATATCTTACCGAGCAACTCGGTCATGGCCCCCTGACACAAAATAATATCCATATGGAGAAAACTGTGTGTCCCATACTGGGTAGTTGTGTCCTTTATATCCCACCAAGCAAGTAAATGTTTGAAGGCTCCATAATCTAACAGTTCCATCCTCTGAAGAGGAAAGCAGGTAATTCCTGAGAAGAGAATTTGATAAAATTGATTTCCCAGAATTAACTTTAGACTACTTTCAAGTTTCTTCTTATATTTGAATTTTTTAAATATAGCTAACTAATGCTACATCTCACTTGTAATTTATAGACAGAACCCACAATAGATGCAAAGCTAAACAAATGTTAAAACAATGTTGCTGGGTGCCAGTGGCTCATGCCTGTAATCCTAGCTACTGAAGAGGCTGATACTTGAGGATCTCAGTTCAAAGCCAGCACAGGCAAGGAAAGTCTATGAGACTTTTATCTCCAATAAACCAGCAGAAAACCAGAAGCAGTGCTGTGGCTCAAGTGGTAGAGTGCTAGCCTTGAACTGAAGAGCTGAGGGACAGCACCCAGGTCCAGAGTTCAAGCCCCACAACGGACCAAAAAAAAATAAAAATTAAAAAAGGTGAATGTTAGCCTTGACAATAAGTATATTCTGACCACCTAATGATGTTAGATTTTATATGTATGTACATGTGAATATATGAATGTGTATATGCATTTTAAGATAAATTGAGACAATCTACAAAATGTGATAACCTCACTTAATTTTTGACTATAAAATGGAGATGCTATTTTCCAATCTTGTATGAGTTGTAAAAAGGAGAGGATATTGAGGAGTATCCCAGTAATAGTCCTAACTTGGCTCATGCTTAAGGCACTATAGATTCAACCCCCAGCACAAAAGAATGAAAATAGTCTTTAGGAAAAGAAAAATAACTACAAACATGCTAACTTTTTCATGGATAAATACAAAAGCTAGCAGTTTTATTTTTCTGAAATCACATTTCCTCATGTAAAATGTATCATCTGGCTAAACCCTACCAAATACTACTACTACCACTAATAATAATACTCAAAAGTTTTGTTTCCATACATGAAAAAAAAATTGGGGGGGGGGGTACCCATTCTGTGGCTTGAAATCAGGACCTGGGCACTGTCAGCTTTTTTGCTTAAGGCTAGTGCCGTATTACTTGAGGCACAGCTCACTTCTGGCTTTTTGGTAGGTGACTGGAGATGAGTCTCACTAACTTTCCTGCCCAGACTGGCATAGGTGTGAGCCACCAGCACCTGGCTAAACATGAAAACTTAGATGGACTGAAAGCTATTATCTATCTAAGGAAAATACAGATGATACTGTGGTTATAAAACACCCTCCTCTCCTTTTTTTTTTCTGTCAGGTGTGGGGCTTGAACTCTAGACCTGGGCCCTGTCTCTCAGCTCTTCAGCTCAAGGCAAGGGCTCTAACCACTTGAGCCACAGTACCACTTCCAGTTTTCTGGTGGATAATTGGAGGCCAGAGTCTTGCAGACTTTCCTGCCCAGGCTGGCTTTTAACCACAATCCTCAGATCTCAGTCCTGAGTAGCTAGGATTACAGGTGTGAGCCAATAGCACCTGGCTCCTCCTCTCACTTTTTCTTTTTTTTTTTTGGGGGGGGGGTCTGGTGGTGGGGCTTGAACTCTGGACCTGGGCGCTGTCCCTCAGCTCTTCAGCTAAAGGCTAGCGCTCTATCACTTGAGCCACAGAGCCACTTCGGCTTTTTTCTTTTTGCTTATGTGGTGCTGAGGAATCGAACCCAGGGCCTGATGCATGCAAGGCAAGCACTCTACGGCTGAGCCACCTTCCCAGCCCCCGGCTTTTTTCTTTTTGTTTATGTGGTGCTGAGGAATCGAACCCAGGGCCTCAGGCATGCAAGGGCAAGCACTCTACCACTGAGCCACCTTCCCAGCCCCTCCTCCTCTCACTTTTATAGAATGTTAGAAATCATTAAAAAACAAGTAACTAAACACAGCAATTTCAAATTTCCCTTTTAGTACCTGGTTTAATGTTTTCTTGTTACTATTTTTCCCTGAGACAGTCTCATTGTGTTGCCTAGACAAGCATTAAACTCACAATTTTCCTGTCTCAGCTTCCTGAGTAGCTAGAATTACAGATGTGCACACTGCCACACCTAGCTTTCTTTATTTTTAAAACCATATAGCGGGCCCAGAGTTCAGGCCCCATGACTGGACCCCCCCCCCAACAAAAAAACATAACTTTAATTGATAGCTATTATGCCATTAATATCAAGAAATTGTCTTATGAAGTACCATAAGAACAATACAGAAGATTCTAGCAATTTAACTCTTACACAAAAAACTAATTTCTTTTTTTTTTTATTTTTTTTGTCAGTCATGGGACTTGAACTCTGGGCCTGAGCACTGTCCCTCAGCTCTTCAGCTCAAGGCTAGTGCTCTACCACTTGAGCTACAGCACCACTTGCGGTTTTTCTGGTGGGTTATTGGAGATAGGAGTCTCACGGACTTTCCTGCCCGGGCTGGCTGGCTTTGAACTACGATCCTCAGATCTCAGCCTCCTGAGTAGCTAAGATTACAGGCATGAGCCACCAGCGCACAACAAAAAGCTAATTTTTGAAACCACTGCATCTTGAGTCTGTAAATTCAGTTATAAAGTTGTTTTTTTTGCACAGTTCCCCAAGATGAATTAGCAAATGACAAGATTTTAGTAGATTAAGGGCTGACAGCCATGAGATTTTTTCTTTTTTTTTTGGTTGGTCGCAGGGCTTGAACTCTGGGTTTGGGCGCTATCCCTCAGCTCTTCAGCTCAAGGACAGTGCTCTACCACTTGAGCCACAGCTCCACTTCTTGTTTTCTGGTGGTTTATTGGTGGTAAGAGTGGTGATAAAAGTCTCATGAACTTTCCTGCCTGGGCTGGCTTTGAACCATGATCTTCAGATCTCAGCCTCCTGAGTAGCTAGGACTAAAGGTGTGAGCCACGGGCAACTGGCTGAGATTTTTTTTTTTTTTTTGGTGAGATTTTTTTTTTAAGCAAAATTTTCTAGATATTTGCATTATATTCCCAGTGAACTTTTACATAATCTCAACATAGAAATACCTCAGTATTAAATTATTATCATTTGTATTTTACCTATCGGGACTGAAGCTGGCTCCATAGACAGGCCCACTGTGACCATACAAAATCTTCAACTCACTTGCAGTTTTCTCATCCATGATTCTTTCTAAGACATCATCTGATTCTTTGTCTATGAGGCTAAGATCTAAAATGGTCCAGAAATAGTTTTTAAAGGATATTCATCAAAACAGGTTAATGCAATCACATCACAGTTTAGGAAAGGAACAGGTAACAAATTCTTCCTATACCAACCACTGTACTAAAACCTCTAAGTGATGTCATCCCAATGTACAGGAGAAGAAACTGCAGATCAGAACAGTTAATCATTTGCTACCATACACACAGCTACTCAATATGGGAATCAAGATTAAAACTCAAGTTTGACCATTGTATCACATGTTTCACAAAAATGAAAATATTAAAACAATTTTAAATACAGCAAGATAATATAGCTAATGGGGAAAAAACCTTCTAAAATGAAATCCTGACTTTATTGTTCTTTTTTAGCTATTTTTATGACTACAATAAATTTTTTCTCCTATTATTTAAGGTCTCCCACTAAAGTTTTTTTTTTATTTACAAGCAAACAATCATAAAATGTTAGAGTTTTAACTTTTAAGGAGCTTTTATAGCCTAATTCCTTCGATTCCATTTATGAGAAAAGACCAGAGAATTTAACCCAGTCTCCTGATTGCCACCCCAGGACTGTCTTCACTATGGGGAAAGTTGAGAATCTTGAGTTAAAATGAAATTTTTTATCTGCAGAGATCACAACCTCCTTTCTGTATTCTGTGGATTCAAGATTGTTGCAGACTAACTTCAAGTTTACACCAACAGGTCATCTGAGTTACCTGATGCTTGTTTAACACTACGAAGCTTTTTGGGTGTCACAGACCACACTCTGACAGTTGAATCTGCAAAACCTCCAGCAATCAGACTAGAATCATCAGTGACATCCACTGCAGTGAGGCCCTGCCAGTAAAAAAAAGTTTTATACTAAACAATACTTTTGTGGGGGAGGGGATTCAAATCACATCGTAGAATATTGTTCTCATAAAAGATCACTTGAGATTACATTCTCCTATAAAACCCAATGTGTGAAAGCACATACTTGAGCGTGTTGTCACTTACCTTTTTGTGCCCTCCATATTTGGAATGCATGATGGGAAGCAAATGTTAATCATGTTTATAATTTACTAAATATATCCTCAGTAACCTATTACAAGGAGTCTGTAAAGGTATATAGAATTCTTTTTTTCTAAGTTTTAGAAAGGATTTACTTTAGCATAATAGGATAAAGTAGGGAGAAATGGAAAAGAGAAACATTTCCTGCTCCCCATCCAGGAAACAGGAGTTAAAAACTAAAAAATGGTGGTTCCTATCTATAGCCTTTCTACATTTCAAGCTGGAAGAATTTATACAGTCAAGGATATATATAATTCTTAATCAAAAAGTTCATATTAATAATTCACAAGAAGAAGTGGCCTTACTCAAAGGCTGTGATCAGTGAAAACAGAGATGAAGTATAAGCCAGATTTGGGAATCTGCAAGTTTCTGAAGGCCTTCTAAACAGCCTCCATCTACTCTGTGCAGCATCAGTTCTCATCTTGTTCCTTAATTATATCAAGAATTTACTAAGACTCCACTTGAATACATTTAAGATTGTAAATTGCCATTTTACATGACTCTCGGCAAAAATTATCGAATTACTTTACCAACCTGGTAAGCATTTAGGAATGTATAGAAACAAATAGAAGGTAAGCAGTCCGGCCCAAGTCGTACTCGTTTGGTGGTTTCTTTCATATTCATGATCTTATCCAATTTATCTGAATCTTTCAGCTCAGGAAGAGGAATTCTGTGAAGGAAAATCACTGGGAATTATTCTTTGAATATTATTAACAAGCTTATCTCCTCTGTATCCTAACTGACACCTCCTTAAAAATTCTGGAAATCTCTTCCCCACCTGTTTTGAGGTGGAGCATTGGGATCTTGTTTTTTGCTTTTGGATCCAATACTATCTTTTTTGGGCTTCTTCTTTTTAGGTTTTCCTTCTTCATTTTCTCCTTCTTCATCTTCATCATCTAAAGGCACTTCAATTTCTGGTTCTTTTAACAAGCCAAAAAATACCTACAATCAAAAGAACCAACATTTTAAAAATAAATTTTGTTCATTAATATTCCCTTTGAATATATTGATGGGATAAGTCACAATTACAATATTGTCATTTATACCCTGAAGCGGGGTTCTGAACTTGTCTAACAGTTATTTTTCCTGTTTGCCTTGCTAATAGAACCCTGATTTTATTGGAGCAGCAATGTGCTTAGTTAGTTACTTCTGTTCTCAAGCTTCCTTGAAGCTAGCAATAGCCATACAACATAATTCTGGTCAGCAGATAATACAAAGAAATATGCTAGGTATGTTTGCATTTTTTTTAAGAAAAAAAAAATGTCTTCCTGATAAAAAGCAAGAGACTCAAGCAGGCTTTTCATCCTTTCCATTATCCCATCTTGGACTGTAGTTGCAATGCTGGAGCTGCAACAGCCATCTATGACCACAAGGAAGAAAGTCATTCTAAAGATGATAGACCATAGACCAAGCTGAGTGCCGGTGGCTCACACCTGTTGTCCTAGCTACTCAGGAGGCTGAGATCTGAGGATAGAGGTTCAGAGCCAGTCTGGACAGGAAAGTCCATTAGATTATCTTCAGCTAACCACCAGAAAACTGGAATTGGTGTTCTGGCTCAAACTGGTAGAACACTAGCCTTGGGCTATAGAGCTATGGGACAGTGTTCAAGCCCCACGACCGACCAAAAATAAATAAATGAATAAAGGTGACAGACCAGAAACTAGAAGCCAGGGACACTGACAACATTGTAGAGCTATCATGCCAGCCCTGGAAAGACTCCCGAATTCATTTCATGTGAGGAAAATCAACTTTTTTGATATACTAAAGTCAGGGTTCTGTTAAATGCAATCATTCCCAAGTCCTCACACAGATTCACTATCCTTAGAACACGAAATTTTAAAAACAGTATAAAATTATTTCCAAGCTAGCTATAAGAAAAATTTAAATTATGTGGATCGAAATGCTACAATTTTTCATAATCTACATTATATAGTTCTTAGGTTTATTCCCATACCTTTGATTTGTTTGCCTCTCGTTTAGCCTCTCCTGCCAAACTTCCCACCATCGCATCTATCTGTTGCTTACTACGCGGCATCCCATCAAAGATGTCAATGTAGAGGTGCTCCTGAACTATGTTCCATATCTGATTGTTCTGTTTCTCCTGAAGATGCCTCTTCAAGAGTTGGTACGAGTCACGGGAAATACGCAGAACAAATTTACTTGTTCGAAAATCCAACATGGTTTCATTCCCTTTCATGTGTTCCTTTTTGGTAAGACTAGATAATACTCGTAGGTCATCCTGGTAATAACATTCCTGATCTCCATGGAACCTGTTTCAGTGATTTTAAAAAGTCATTTTTCAATATAATCATTAAGGGATCCGCCTCTCCCCCAAATATTTATAAGCCACCCCAGAATATCTTAAATGTAGTAGTTTAAATCATTCTAAACTGTATCTACAGGTAATTCACTGATTATAAAGTAGTTTCTGAATTCATCCTTAAAGTGATCAATTTAATTCTCTAAACATTTTAAAAGAACAATTTGAAATAATTACCACATGAATGAAAGACATTTACTACTGGTAGACAATTTCTTTGGAATACCAATTTTGGTAAATATTTGAAAATGTCTGAACCTTTGCTTTTACTGCAAGCTTTCTCAAAATCCCACTTTTAAATTTTTATTATGGAAAATTTCAAATGTGTATGAAGCAGAAAATGTATTGTAATTCAATGAACCTATCATAGCTCTCTACAATAACACATGGATTCTCATTGGCCCCACCATTTTAATGATTTCCCATGTTCACAACATTTATTAAATGTCAATACTTTAATATTATAACTAATAAACAAATGTTAGTATCAAACAATGAATACTTGTATTTACTATTACCAAAAGCAATTTAATAAAGCCATCAGCCATGGTGCCAACTAGTAACTTTTAATACTTTTGTTTTTATAAATTGTAACTTTCCTTAAAAAAAACTATTAAAGATATAGATTTGGCATTTACTAAGAACAGTAATCAATGCAAAATATTGAGAAAACAATGACTGACTAAAATTAGATAAAACTCTAGCTCTGAAAGACACAAAGCCAATGGATTCCTATATTGTTACCCATTTGGATTCATCAATAAGCAGACTAAGGGTTTTGCCCTAGATTTAAAGTAAAGTAGAAATCTCAGGCAGTTAAGTATTTTTATCACTACTTATTATTCTCATCATTTGGGCATGGGGTCCTCTAAGACTGTCAATAACAGGGAAACAGAATCCTCTACAATATTTCAGCTTCCTAACCAAGGAGATTGTTACACTATGAATTTGGAAGGGGAGGGTTTTTTTATGACAGTAGTATAAGAAAAATTATTAAGCTTCTAGAGAAGTTGTATGATCATTAGCCTTTTTAAAAAATAAAAAACTCGCCGGGCGCTGGTGGCTCACGCCTGTAATCCTAGCTACTCAGGAGGCTGAGATCTGAGGATCGCGGTTCAAAGCCAGCCCGGGCAGGAGAGACCGTGAGACTCCTATCTCCAATAAACCACCAGAAAACCGGAAGTGGCGCTGTAGCTCAAGTGGTAGAGAGCTCACCTTGAGCTGAAGAGCTGAGGGACAGCGCCCAGGCCCAGAGTTCAAGCCCCACGACCGACAAAAAAAATAAAATAAAAAATAAAAAACTCTGAGCCAAGAACATTTTGCTTCCTGTTTCTTCTCTTAGTTACCTTACTATAATGAATGAATATTACGGCATAAGGGTTCTATTGTTCTTCTCTCACTAGTATCTGCGTTATCTGACAAGTCCTAGCTTCAAGCTCTATTGCTTGAACTAAAGAACTGCCATTCAAATATTATGCACCATTTCCTTCTCAAATATGGCTTGATACTCTCTTAGTTTTCTTACTATTTCTTTAGCTTTTCTGTCTTACAGTCTTACACTTCACACTATCTTTATATCTTACACTTGGCCATTGAAATGTTAGAGCTCTCTCAAAGCATGAGTTTAGCTCTCTTATTTCATAAGACAATGTAATTCATATCTTTATCCATCAATATTGCACATAACTCCAGGCACCAGTGGCTTATGCCTATAATCCTCGCAACTCAAAGGTGAAGATCAGGAGAATCACAGTTCCAGGAAAGCCTAGGAAAAAGTTTGAGAAAACTTAACAGAAAGAGCTGGTGTGGTGATATGTTCCTGTTATGCCAGCTATGGTGGGAAGAGTAAAATAGGGCTGTGGGTCCAGGCTGGGCTGAATTTATCTCAAAATAAACCAGTTGCCAAAGTGGCTCAGGCAAGCCAGAGGTCAGTGGCTCATGCCTGTAATCCTAGCTATGGAGGCTGAGTTTCAGAGGATACTCAAGGCCAGCCCAGACAGAAAAAGTCCAGTTGACTCCATCTCCAAAATAAACAGCAAAAAGCAGAGGTAGAGAGATGGCTCAAGCAACACGGCACCTACTTGTTAAGGCCAAAGAACTGAGTCCAAACTCCAGTACTAGGAAAAAAAAAAAAAAAAAAAGGAAGGGGCTGGAAACGTGGCTTAGTGGTAGAGTGCTTGCTTAGCATGCATGAAGCCCTGGGTTCAATTCCTTAGTACCAGATAAAAATGGGGGGAAAAGGTAGCACTGTGGCTCAAGTGGTAGAGCATTAACCTTGAGCACAGAGAAGCTCAGGGATAGCACACAGGCCCCGAGTTCAAGTCCCAGGACTAGCAAAAAAAAAAAAAACTTTGTGACTCAAGTTCCTACTTTTCCTCTAAATCCTCACAGCAGGAACAAACAGTTGATAGGGACATAAGAGTGACTATTGACTAATTTTAGAGGTTACTGAATGGCTGTCTACAGGAATGGTAGCTCTTGACAGGTCAAAGGCATATTGAAACTGGAACTAAAGATTATTCCTCCACCACACAGAGTAAGTCCTATTCTAGGATTTTCTGTCGGTGAAGGGCATCCCTATCTGACTGGGGGACCAGAAACATGGGATTATCATTGATAGCTTCTGTATTTATTAAATACCAAATTAATCTGCCACCAATACAACCCAGTTCAATATTTGTCAACGTGAATACTACTGGAATTTTGGGCAGGACAATTCTTTGCCAAGGAGAACTACTTGCACATCCTAAAATATTTAGTATTTCTGCTCCTCTAACCAGTCAGTATGAAAACCAAAAGAAGCCTCCATGTTTGCTAATGGAAGAAGGAATACCATTCCTGTTGAGAACCACTCAATCTCCAAATTGATCAAGTCATTCTATCCTTCATTATTTGTTTGCCGCTTGCATAAAGGTTCTTTTAAAATACCTATTTAGGGGCTGGGAAGGTGGCTCAGTGGTAGAGTGCTTGCCTTGCATGCATGAGGCCCTGGGTTCCATTTCTCTGTACCACACAAGCAGGAAAAGCTGGAAGTGGCATTGTGACTCAAGTGGTAGAGCACTAGCCTTAAGCTAAAGAGCTGAGGGACAGTGCCAAGCCCAGAGTTCAAGCCCCACAACCGACCAAAAAAAAAAAAAAAAAAAACTATTGATAATATAGTTCTCCAATGACTTCTGTGACCAAGATGCTTCACTGTCCTCCATATCTATCTCTCCTTTCTTCCTCCAAAGCAGAACCCCTGAAGATTAGCTGAGCACACAAACACCTGAGTAAGACCACATTCCTTTGTAGCTAGGTATAGTGACTTACAAAAAATCTGTAAAGAGTAGTGTATCCATCTTCCTAGAAGAATGTGTGCCTTCCCCAATGTCTAGAACACTGGTGTAAATGCTTAGAGCTAGACAACCATTTTGCACCATAAAATAGAAATGGTCTACCAAGAGTGGCACAGTAGGGCTGGTAATGTGGCTTAGCAGTAGAGTGCTTGCCTAGCACGCATTAAGCCCTGGGTTCGATTCCCCATTACCACATACACAGAAAAAGCTGGAACTGGCGCAGTGGTTCAAGTGGTAGAGTGCTAGCCTTAAACAAAAGAAGTTCAAGGACAGTGTCCAGGCCCTGAGTTCAAGCACGGGGACCGGCAAGAAAAAAAAAAAAGTTCAAAGCCAGCCTGGGCAGAAAAATCTATAAGATTCTTATCTCCAGGGCTGGGAAGGTGGCTCAGTGGTAGAGTGCTTGCCTTGCATGCATGAGGCCCTGGGTTCAATTCCTCAGCACCACATAAGCAAAAAGAAAAAAGCCGGAAGTGGCGCTGTGGCTCAAGTGGTAGAGCGCTAGCCTTGAGCTGAAGAGCTAAGGGGCAGCGCCCAGGCCCAGAGTTCAGGCCCCACGACCAGACCCCCCCAAAAAAAATTCTTATCTCCAGTTAACCACTAGAAAACCAGAAGTAGACCAGAAGTGGAGCTGTGGCTTATGGCAGTAGAGCACTAGCCTTGAGCAAAAAGAGCACAGGGAAGGTGCCTAGGCCCCAAGTTCAAGCCACATGACTGAAAGAAGAAAAAAAAAAAGAGTGGCAGAGCAACAAGATTGAAAAAGCCTGTGACTTTGCTAATCAAGGACTCACCCTATAGTCTTATACTTTCCACCTTTGTAAGAAGTAAACTTCTATTATATTTAAGCAATAAGCTTAAATATAATAAGCTTCTTGAATAATAAACTTTTATTATATTTAAACCTACTACTTTAATAGTGATTCTCAGTCAAGTCTAATCCTACTCAATACAATTCCCTATTGATCTTAGAACAAAAACCTTCAACTTGGCCTAAGAACTTGCCTGTTATTTCAGTGTCTAACCAATTGTTACATCACAACACACGCTATTCTCAGCTCCAGCTACTGTGGCCTCCTTTTAGTCTCTGTAACTATTAAGAACTTTCCTCCCAGTTTTCAAACATGCTTTTCCCTCTTCATCTGGTTAAGTCTCAATCTTCAGGTTTTACTTCAAGTATGGTTCATCTGGAAGCCTTCCTTGTCATTTCCACTAGATACACACCCTCTGCCCCCAATTAACTTCATATCATCCCAGGTACCTCTCCTCTGTAAAGTACTTCCTGAGTTGCAGCCTTAAAGTTGTATGGCTGTAGATATATAGGGGTAAACAAAATATATGTAAAATTTCACATACTTCTCAAAGAATGATTTTGCTTCATTTTCATGTTGATTATAGACTAGCTCCAAGTACATGTGTACAAACAGAGGATAAAAGAGTTGGGATAATTCTGCCCGATGGCAGTCCAGAGAACATTCAATGAAGTGTTTCAGTCCACTATAGTACTCTTCATACATTGTGGGGTCTCCTTGTTGGTTGTAGGCCGACAAGACAGCACTGACATCTGGCTGGTCTTCCACAGCTACACTTCCAACTGTTTAAAAAAATGAATGACAACTTTTAAGAAAATGATTGATATCTACATGTGACTGAGACTCAGAAGTGAACTATTTGTCAGTTTGTCCCTTTCCTCAACAGAATCATTTACTCTTTTAATGGGCTTTGTACTTGCTTGACAAAGGCCAAAATACCTTTAAGTACTCACATCTCAAGGTAAAACTTCAAATCAGTATATCAAAAAGTCTGCTACTTTTTCCTCAATCTACCTTAAAGACAAACTGTGTAAAGGTATATGAAGCACAGGGATGTGGCTAAGTGGTAGACTGCTTGCCAAGCTTGCACAAGGTCCCGGGCTCTGGTGGCTCATGCCTGTAATCTTAGCCATTCAGAAGGCTGAGATCTGAGGACCACGGTTCAAAGCCAGCCCAGGCAGAAAAATATGAGACTTATCTCCAATTAACCACCAGAAAACTAGAAGTGACACTGTGGCTCAAGTGGTAGCGTACTAGCCTTGAGCTGAAGAGCTTAGGTACAGTGCCCAGGCCCAGAGTTCAAGCCCCATGAATGACAAAAAAATTTTAAGTGCAAACTAACAATTATATTGATCTCTCTAAAGGTTTCGTCCAAGTGACACCCACTACCACCAAGCCATGCAGCCATGCTCTAGCAGGAATGAGAAATGGCTTTCTCTGCCAATGACCATTTGGTTATTTACAACATCATTTGCCAGCCATACAAAATTATCAATACAGGCAAGTGAGTGCCAGGCAGTTGAAGAGAAGCATACCTGTCTGTCCTGTCAAATACTAAGTTATTTCAAGGGTCTCATACAGCCTCACAAAGGTAGAGAATGAAAAGGTTTCCAACCCTTACTCTGGATTAACAATTCTAGCTTCCTTAGCACTCCTGTTTAATATTCTATTCTGTTACCTGCACAGGTGCATATCTACCACCTGATATAAAAATATCAGCATTTGAGAACACCTGGAAATTAGCTCTAGGGATTTCTTGAACTAATTGGGATAACTTTAAGATAACTGAGTATCCACACACTTTTAGATGGGAACTCAGCTGCGAAGTACTGTCATGTAATAGTTTTTATTTTGTTTGTTTTTGGCTAGTCATAGAGCTTGAACTCAATGCCTGGGCACTGTCTCTGATCTTCTTTTGCTCAAAGCTAGCACTCTACCACTTGAGTCATAGTGCCACTTCTGGCTTTTTCTGTTTATGTGGTACTGAGGAATTGAACGTAGGGCTCCATGCATGCCAGGCAAGCACTCTACCACTAAGCCATATTCCCAGCCCAGTTACTGCTAGGCTGGATGGCTAGACAGGCAGAAAACTGATTTTGCATCATTGTGTCTTCTCTATATTCTATGATTGGCAGGCCTAAAAATAAAACCGGAATTAATACTAGGTAAAAAATACCAGGGGCTGGGAAGGTGGCTCAATGGTAGAGTGCTTGCCTTGCATGCATGAGGCCCTGGGTTCAATTCCTCAGTACCACACATAAGCAGAAACAATTGGAAGTGGCGCTTTGGCTCAACTGGTAGAAAGCTAGCCTTGAGCTGAAGAACTAAGGGACAGCATTCACGCCCAGAGTTCAGGCCCACAAAAAAAAAAAAAGCAGCATTTGAAAGACCATGCCTTTTTATATCTCTAAGAGATAACTATAATTCAATTGTATATGCTTAACAACAACAACTTCTATAACTATCATTTCACAGCAAAAAACACCTGAGTACTTATTTATGATATACTAATACCAAACAATATATCTCGCAAATTAAGAGTTTAGTCCAGGCACAGTGGCTCATACCTGCAATCTCAGCTACTCAAGAGGGAGTGATTAGGAGGAACACAAAACTGGGCAAAAAGTTACTATCAGCCAGGCGCCGGTGGCTCATGCCTGTAATCCTAGCTACTGAGGAGGCAGAGATCTGAGGATCACGGTTCAAAGCCAGCCCAGGCAGGAAAGTCCGTGAAACTCTTATCTCCAATAAACCACCAGAAAACCGGAAGTGGCATTGTGGCTCAAGCAGTAGAACACTAGTCTTAAGCTGAAGAGCACAGCACCCAAGCCCAGAGTTCAAGCCCCACGACTGACAAAAAGAAAAGAAAAGAAAAAAGTTACTATTTCAACAAGCCAGCTATAGTAGTATACTTTATAATCCCAGCTAATCAAGAGACATAGATTAACTGAGAGAGAGCAAAGAGGTGACACTGTCCAAAAAGAAAAATACTCATTATCTATCCATCACCTTTATAATAACAATTTAATAATAATGATAATAATAATAATGAGGCATAGGTAGGTCTAGGCATAGACCTGATTCAAAAAACAAAGTCAGCTGGGTGCTCATACCTGTAATCATAGCTACTAAGGAGGCTGAGATTTGAGGATAGAAGTTCAAAGGCAGCCCAAGCAGGAAAGTGAGACTTAATCTCCAATTAACCACTAGCAAACTGGAAGTGGAGCTATGGTTCAGTGGTAGACCACACAGGGACAGTGCCTATACCATGAGTTCAAGCCTTACAACCGAAGGGGGGAAAAAGTCAAATACAGTTGGAAGTAGGGCTCAAGTTGTAGAGCCAAGCACACTCAGTTGAAACTCCACTAAATAAATAAATGAATTTGGCCTTTGGAAATTTTGATAAGCTATACTATGGTTCTGCTCCATACTGCAGAAATGTTTGATTTTGTTTATCATTCTGATGGCCTCTTTTCTACCTTTTTGTATTCTCAGGTATAATCTAAATCTGAATCCAATTTTTGAAGAAAATGAAAACCAACACACATAATTAATCCACAAAGTACAGTATTCAGAAAAAATTCTTCTCAATCATATATTTTAAGGATGGAGGTGTAGCAGAGTGCCTGTCTTCTAAGCATAAGACCCCGATTTTTCAGGGTAATGGCTCACACTTGTAATCCTACCTACTCAGGAGGCTGAGATCTGAGGATCATGGTTCAAAGCCAGCTTGGGCAGGAAAAGCTGTGAGACTCTTATCTCCAATAAACCACTCAGAAAACTGGAAGTGGCACTGTGGCTCAAGTGGTAGAGTGCTAGCCTTGAGCTGAAGAACTGAGAGATAGTGCTCAGGCCCAGAGTTCAAGCCCCATAACTGACAAAAATAAAAAATAAAAAAGACCCTGAGTTTAAACTGGAGAAGAAGAGGAAGGAGGAGGAAGGAGGAGGAAGAGGAAGAATGGCAGACTCAAGGATTTTTTTTGCATATTTCTGGTTATAAATTACAGTGCTATGTGTTCAAACTTCATCTCTGGCAATCCTGCAAAGAGTAAGTCTCATAAATACAAATTCATTGGCTAGAGCCACTTAACTAGATAATTTAATTCAATACATTTTCTGATCTCTGTATGTGAGTTTTCCTGTGTTGACTTTGGACAAGAACTGCTGGAAGAAAGGGGTCAGGATCAATGATAGTACAGAGACATAAACTTTTCAGTACAGGGCATTTTTTTCATGGACATTTGAGCCTTATTACCTCATTTAATATGAAAAACTCAATCTTAGGGCTAGAGGCGCCACACAAGTAAAATCAGCAGAGACAAAAAAAAAGTGTAGCAGTGTGTTAATAGCTCATGCCTGTTATCCTAGCTAGTCAGGAGGCTGAGATCTGAGGATGGCAGTTCAAAGCCAGCCCAGGCAGAAATGTCCCTGTGAAACTCTTTATCTCAAATTAACCACCAGAAAACCAGGAGTGGCACTGTGGCTCAAGTGGTAAAGCTCTAGCCTTGAACTGAAGAGCACAGGGACAGCACCCAGACCTGGAGTTCAAGCCCCACAACTGACAAAAAAAAAGTGTAGCTGGGTGCTGGTGGCTCACACCTAAATAAAAAGTGTAACCCACATCTATTCCCATATTTACAGTCCTCCAATTATTATTAATTTTTTTGTCAGTGGTGGGGCTTGAACTCTGGGCCTGGGCGCTGTCCCTCAGCTCTTCAGCTCAAGGCTAGTGCTCTACCACTTGAGCCACAGTGCCACTTCCGACTTTCTGGTGGCTTATTCTTATTAGAGATAAGAGTCTTATGGACTTTCCTGCCCGGACTGGCTTTGAACCGTGATCCTCAGATCTCTGCCTCCTGAGTAGCTAGAATTAGAGGCATGAGCCACAGGCGCCCCGCTGAGTCCTCCAATTTTGCCTCATCACTCGTATTGTAGGTGCTGAGAATGTGGCCTAATGGTAGAGTGGTTGCCTAGCATGCATGAACCTCTCGGTTCAATTCCTCGGCACTACACAAACAGAAAGGGCTGGGAAGTTGGCTCAGTGGTAGAGCGCTTGCCTTGCATGCATGAGGCCCTGGGTTCGATTCCTCAGCACCACATAAGCAAAAAGAAAAAAGC